AAAGGAGGACATGGGCGTCACTGGTGGCTCTGGTACCACTATGTTGATGCTGATGGGGACGTGTGACTGTAGATGTTACACAAAGGAGGACATGGGCGTCACTGGTGGCTCTGGTACCACTATGTTGATGCTGATGGGGGCGGTGTGACTGTAGATGTTACACAAAGGAGGACACATGCGTCACTGGTGGCTCTGGTACCACTATGTTGATGCTGATGGGGGCGTGTGACTGTAGATGTTACACAAAGGAGGACATGGGCGTCACTGGTGGCTCTGGTACCACTATGTTGATGCTGATGGGGACGTGTGACTGTAGATGTTACACAAAGGAGGACATGGGCGTCACTGGTGGCTCTGGTACCACTATGTTGATGCTGATGGGGACGTGTGACTGTAGATGTTACACAAAAGGAGGACATGGGCCACTGGTCGCTCTGGTACCACTATGTTGATGCTGATGGGGGCGTGTGACTGTAGATGTTACACAAAGGAGGACATGGGCATCCACTGGTGCTCTGGTACCACTATGTTGATGCTGATGGGGACGTGTGACTGTAGATGTTACACAAAGGAGGACATGGGCGTCACTGGTGGCTCTGGTACCACTATGTTGATGCTGATGGGGACGTGTGACTGTAGATGTTACACAAAGGAGGACATGGGCGTCACTGGTGGCTCTGGTACCACTATGTTGATGCTGATGGGGACGTGTGACTGTAGATGTTACACAAAAAAGGAGGACATGGGCGCCACTGGTGGCTCTGGTACCACTATGTTGATGCTGATGGGGACGTGTGACTGTAGATGTTACACAAAAGGAGGACATGGGCCACTGGTGGCTCTGGTACCACTATGTTGATGCTGATGGGGACGTGTGACTGTAGATGTTACACAAAGGTGGACATGGGCGTCACTGGTGGCTCTGGTACCACTATGTTGATGCTGATGGGGACGTGTGACTGTAGATGTTACACAAAGGTGGACATGGGCGTCACTGGTCGCTCTGGTACCACTATGTTGATGCTGATGGGGACGTGTGACTGTAGATGTTACACAAAGGAGGACATGGGCGTCACTGGTGGCTCTGGTACCACTATGTTGATGCTGATGGGGACGTGTGACTGTAGATGTTACACAAAGGTGGACATGGGCGTCACTGGTGGCTCTGGTACCACTATGTTGATGCTGATGGGGACGTGTGACTGTAGATGTTACACAAAGGTGGACATGGGCGTCACTGGTCGCTCTGGTACCACTATGTTGATGCTGATGGGGGGCGTGTGACTGTAGATGTTACACAAAGGTGGACATGGGCGTCACTGGTCGCTCTGGTACCACTATGTTGATGCTGATGGGGACGTGTGACTGTAGATGTTACACAAAGGAGGACATGGGCGTCACTGGTGGCTCTGGTACCACTATGTTGATGCTGATGGGGACGTGTGACTGTAGATGTTACACAAAGGTGGACATGGGCGTCACTGGTCGCTCTGGTACCACTATGTTGATGCTGATGGGGACGTGTGACTGTAGATGTTACACAAAGGTGGACATGGGCGTCACTGGTCGCTCTGGTACCACTATGTTGATGCTGATGGGGACGTGTGACTGTAGATGTTACACAAAAGGTGGACATACGTCACTGGTCGCTCTGGTACCACTATGTTGATGCTGATGGGGCGTGTGACTGTAGATGTTACACAAAAGGTGGACATGGGCGTCACTGGTGGGGCACCTGGTACCACTATGTTGATGCTGATGGGGACGTGACTGTAGATGTTACACAAAAGGTGGACATGGGCGTCACTGGTCGCCTGGTACCACTATGTTGATGCTGATGGGGACGTGTGACTGTAGATGTTACACAAAGGTGGACATGGGCGTCACTGGTCAGCTCTGGTACCACTATCTTGATGCTGATGGGGACGCATGTGACTGTAGATGTTACACAAAGGAGGACATAGAAGTCGTTACACAAAAGGGATGACATAAACTGGTGGCTGATGGGGACGTGTGAATGTAGATATTACACAAAGGTGGACATGGGCGTCACCGGTGGCTGATGGGGACGTGTGAATGTAGATGTTACACAAAGGTGGACATGGGCGTCACCGGTGGCTGATGGGGACGTGTGAATGTAGATGTTACACAAAGGAGGACATGGGCGTCACCGGTGGCTGATGGGGACGTGTGAATGTAGATGTTACACAAAGGAGGACATGGGTGTCACTGGTGGCTGATGGGGACGTGTGACTGTAGATGTTACACAAAGGAGGACATGGGCGTCACTGGTGGCTGATGGGGACGTGTGAATGTAGATGTTACACAAAGGAGGACATGGGCGTCACTGGTGGCTGATGGGGACGTGTGAATGTAGATGTTACACAAAGGTGGACATGGGCGTCACCGGTGGCTGATGGGGACGTGTGAATGTAGATGTTACACAAAGGTGGACATGGGCGTCACCGGTGGCTGATGGGGACGTGTGACTGTAGATGTTACACAAAGGTGGACATGGGCGTCACTGGTCGCTCTGGTACCACTATGTTGATGCTGATGGGGACGTGTGACTGTAGATGTTACACAAAGGAGGACATGGGCGTCACTGGTGGCTGATGGGGACGTGTGACTGTAGATGTTACACAAAGGAGGACATGGGTGTCACTGGTGGCTGATGGGGACGTGTGAATGTAGATGTTACACAAAGGAGGACATGGGTGTCACTGGTGACTGATGGGGACGCGTGACTGTAGATGTTACACAAAGGTGGACATGGGCGTCACTGGTGGCTGATGGGGATGTGTGAATGTAGATGTTACACAAAGGAGGACATGGGCGTCACTGGTGGCTGATGGGGACGTGTGACTGTAGATGTTACACAAAGGAGGACATGGGCGTCACTGGTCGCTCTGGTACAACTATGTTGATGCTGATGGGGACGCGTGACTGTAGATGTTACACAAAGGAGGACATGGGCGTCACTGGTGGCTCTGGTACAACTATGTTGATGCTGATGGGGATGTTTGACTGTAGACGTTACACAAAGATGAGATGACCAAGTTTGTAGACTCGCTGACTTTCTTCAAATGACAGATCCCTGAAAAGGAAGTTGACAAAGGTACTCTTTCATTGCCAAAACATCCTTGGTTGATGTCTGTGAAAAGCTATGGTGTGCATTGCCATCATGGGTACCAGCAGGTTGGTGGTTCTAGGAGGATCCTGTACAGTGTTGGTGTAAACCTGCAGAATTTTAGGGCATAGCCAAACACATGAAGAATTCTCAGATATGTTTCTGCAGTCATCTTTGTTGATCAGAAGGAGTTCAGGCGTTGCAGTGTAAGGCCAGTGACAATGTAAAGGCTATGGATGTGTACTGAGCAAGGAAGAATGTCATCTGTCACTATATCCACCAATGTCAGTCAACAGGGCAAAAGTGAAATCACGGTTTGACTGTCCAGGCAATTGAACTTGACGATCCAACAGAGTGTCCCTCTGCTAAGTTGTCACAGTGATGCATCCAGGGTATAGTGGAGAGTGATAGTAATGTATACCCTGGAGATTATCGAGGATGCTGGCAATAGAGCTTCCTGACAAAGTTTAAACCCTGTCTTAGTACAATAGTGTGTGCTTGAAGGGAGGTGTTTGTAGTGTGTGCTTGAAGGGTGGTGTTTGGAATGTGTGCTTGAAGGATGGTGTTTATAGTGGATGAGTGAAGGGTGCTGTTTATAGTGGATGACTGAAGGGTGGTGTTTATAGTGGATGACTGAAGGGTGGTGTTTATAGTGGAAGACTGAAGGGTGGTGTTTGGGGTGTGTGCTTGACGGGTGGTGTTTATAGTGGATGACTGAAGGGTGGTGTTTGGGGTGTGTGCTTGAAGGGTGGTGTTTATAGTGGATGACTGAAGGGTGGTGTTTGGGGTGTGTGCTTGAAGGGTGGTGTTTATAGTGGATGACTGAAGGGGGTGTTTGGAGTGTGTGTTTGAAGGGTGGTGTTTATAGTGGATGACTGAAGGGTGGTGTTTATAGTGGAAGACTGAAGGGTGGTGTTTGGGGTGTGTGCTTGAAGGGTGGTGTTTATAGTGGATGACTGAAGGGTGGTGTTTGGAGAGTGTGCTTGAAGGGTGGTGTTTATAGTGGATGACTGAAGGGTGGTGTTTGGGGTGTGTGCTTGAAGGGTGGTGTTTATAGTGGATGACTGAAGGGTGGTGTTTATATTGGATGACTGAAGGGTGGTGTTTATAGTGGATGACTGAAGGGTGGTGTTTATAGTGGATGACTGAAGGGTGGTGTTTGGAGAGTGTGCTTGAAGGGTGGTGTTTATAGTGGATGACTGAAGGGTGGTGTTTGGGGCGTGTGCTTGAAGGGTGGTGTTTATAGTGGATGACTGAAGGGTGGTGTTTGGGGTGTGTGCTTGAAGGGTGGTGTTTATAGTGGATGACTGAAGGGTGGAGTTTGGGGTGTGTGCTTGAAGGGTGGTGTTTATATTGGATGACTGAAGGGTGGAGTTTGGAGAGTGTGCTTGAAGGGTGGTGTTTATAGTGGATGACTGAAGGGTGGTGTTTGGGGTGTGTGCTTGAAGGGTGGTGTTTATAGTGGATGACTGAAGGGTGGTGTTTGGAGAGTGTGCTTGAAGGGTGGTGTTTATATTGGATGACTGAAGGGTGGTGTTTGGAGAGTGTGCTTGAAGGGTGGTGTTTATAGTGGATGACTGAAGGGTGGTATTTGGAGTGTGTTTGAAGGGTGGTGTTTATAGTGGATGACTGAAGGGTGGTGTTTGGAGAGTGTGCTTGAAGGGTGGTGTTTATAGTGGATGACTGAAGGGTGGTATTTGGAGTGTGTTTGAAGGGTGGTGTTTATAGTGGATGACTGAAGGGTGGTGTTTGGAGAGTGTGCTTGAAGGGTGGTGTTACAATAGGGCCAGGGGAATGTGTATGTAAAAACCAGGGGGTAGACGGGGCAGGGGGAGGACTTGCAAATGCTGAGCAGCAGCTGAGTACATACTTCTTCTCATTGTTGACATCTCTCATTCGACGCCCACTCAGATCTCTGCATGCTTCTCTGCTTGTTGTCTTTTCAATTTGAGCTCCAATTGCTCGCAGCATAGACCCAAATCCTGGAACCCATGAATACCAACTTATGTCTGGTTTCCAAATATTGAACTAGGTTGGAGAAATAATTAAATACCATGACCTTAGCAGTTAACCTTAATAAGAGAGTGATAATCATCTGCAAATATATTCAGCTTTTTATCACAAAAATCATCAAAGATTTCTGCATTAAAGAAAAGATTATTTAAAACATTTTGTGTATGATATCCTAATAATACAATGCATTGTTGATGAAAACAAATATGTGGTACCTGGTGTAGATTTACTCATCACCTGGGACCAATCAGAATCACCAGTACACTTAAATCTAATCAAAAGCCACCTTTATATATACTGCATAACTTTGTACTAGTTACCTCCCTTCCCTGCCAGCAATCGAGGGACACACTGATAAACTTGGCCTTCAGACACATCCTCCTCATCCTGTGTGATGCGGCCATTACATGTCACATAGAAATCTGTCTCTTCAAATAACTGCAACATCATATAAAAAACACACATTCAATGTTTAGCAATCATGAAGAAATAGAAAGTAAACATCCAGATCAATCTGCTAGCACAAGTGATGTTTGGGGAATAAGGAACTATTTTGGGTACTAAACATCTTGGGATAAACCTGCAAATTGTGTGTGGTGTGTCAAATACAGTGAAGCCTCGTTAATCCGGACGGTTGCATTTCTCAGCAAATTCGTCAGGATTGCGAATTGTCCGGACTACTGAATCAAGACCCAAGTTCAAGCAAGAGTTGCTTCCCTTACTATTACAAAAACGACACGAATCTGGATAAAACAAATAAACATTTAATGTAAGCTTATAAAACGATGAAGAGCAAGCACAACAATAAATTATAGTCATAGCAAAAAGTCTTTCATTGTTGTTTGTGTTCGTTTAACCTTCCTCATTGAATTCATCACATCAATAAGTTTACCGAGTGACATCCGCATGTTGATCAGACGTGTCTGATCACGTCCTTCCTCAGCACAGGTGAGGTAATGTCTAACAAGCGATCTATTGTAGTATGCCTTGAATGTCAAAATTATTCCTGCATCCATCGGTTGAATATGAGACGTGCTATTTGATCACATTTCGCAAAGTTAGCAAAACACTTGTGACTTGCAGCGTTGTCGAGAAGCAAAATCACTTTAAGTCCATGTGACCGCATCTGTCTGTCAAAGTACATTAACCAATCACAAAACAGCTCACTTGTCATCCACGCCTTTGTATTGTGGTGTCAATCAAAGTGTAAATGTACAGCATCTTGAGTCAGGAGCTTTTAATGTCTAAGTAAAACAACAACCCTTAACAGACATTTCTCAAAAGTTAACAAGAGTTCATCTTGTCAACTCCATGACACCGACTTTTTATTGTTTATGGCCAGTTAAGTAAACATCGCCGGGGGGTGTTGTTATGGTTCGTGAACACGACTTACAGCATCCGGACTGTGAAGCAATTAACTGTTTATTTTACTGACAGTCACAGTTACTGATGTTACAGTTACTTGCCGTCCGGTTCGGGCCGAATTTCCGGATTATCGAGGCAAATTAAATAGGCATAGATTGGTAACAAGATAAAATCGTCCGGGAGGCGAGACATCCGGATTATCGGGGTCCGGACTAACGGGGCTTCACTGTATATGCAAAGTGTGTGGTAAATTATGGGGCTATTCCCCGTATCTGCTCACATTTACGGGCCACATCATAGATAAGGCTAGTTTAACATATTTCAAAAGGAAGTCTTTTAAAACAGTGTTTTAATGTTTGAATAAAACTCATGCAAAACCCTGAATAAATATAATCAGTAAATTTGTTATTAATAATATAACATTTGTCATAACTGTATGGATTTTTCAGTGTATTTGTCTGCACTTTTATGAAAGTGGCAAATGTTGACTACAGCAGCCAGTCAGTAGGAGCGACATGTCTTTGTTAATAGAAGCTCCATTCCAATAGGTATAGCAAATGCAAATGAGATGTAATTTATGTCTTTGTGTAATGTTATTATGCTGATATAATAATTCATCCATGCAAACTTTAAAGATTATACTCCATGAGATATAGATATTTGTGATAAATTGTAACTATTTGGTATCATATGGTACTCACAAAGATGCATGTGTTTGGTTCTCAGAACAATTACAAATTGACTAATGTAAAAAATGCTTGCAATGAACAGATATTTATCTGTTTATGTCAAATGTTGCAGTTTGATTTGATCTGAATAGTCCTAACCCCTTCCAGGGTTGTGATATTTTCAGAGCTGCTCACATTCACATCACTGTGAACACTTTGCAGAAGCATGTGTCATTATGTCTAATTTGCAAAACAATCAGAATTGTGTGTTTTGTTCTCTACCACGCATGTGTCCTCTCCTCTGTCCTGCCTGAGCGGCTTTTTCATTTCCCTCTTCTTTTAAGCTTTTTTAATAACCCTCCCTCCCTGCCCTTTTTTTTGTATATTTCTTACTCAGCCTCATGACATATTGTTCTGTCTAAACCAGCTTACAACTTTATGACTCGAAGCTCTGTTATTACTTCGAGACATGCCACGGCTATGGTGTCTCTTGTGTTGATGGTATTTTAGATCGGTGTTGGGCTGTGATATTTTCACCTCAGCGACTTGTTTACTATCTTATGAAACTCTACCTTAACCGCCAAACATGTGATTGTTTCTTCTTCATTGTGTGTATGGAGGTCCAGCAAATTACAAAGATATTCACAACAAACATGGCTGGTGAAGTGACGAGGAAATAAATAATGGAACACTATCATCAGTGGTGTTGCAGAACTAAATAAATATTTCAAACGACGATCCTCATATATCCTATGATGTTTATTTTTAAGGAAATAAGTTTTCATTATCTACCAAACGTCTGGCCTGCTCTGCTGGGCACGCAACACAACATAATCGCACGTGAATGAAGTCAACTTACGTTCGAAAGCAACACATTTTTCACATCAGATACCTTCTTCAAATAATTAGAGATCATATATGTCTGGCGTGGAAAGGTGTGGATAACTAAGAGAGGCGACGACATTGTGATGTCGCAAATGACTTCCAGAAGTCGCTATCAGAAGGGTCGTCAGTAAAACAACCGGAAGGAAAGTCGCGAGTAGAGCCTCGATTTCGACCTGGTAACGTAAGACACGAGTCAAGTTCTTCCGCTCAAAGTAAGAAGAGGCGCGATGTTCAAATTGTGAACCAAATTATATAGATTTAGCTCTTTCTTATGATGGCGTGCCTCCCAACCGTTTTATTTGTGATTTCTGTGATTTGTCAGATTATTTGCACGACAACAGACTTTGAACAGACGAGCAACTCGTGTCTTACAGCAAGAGCGTCTGTAAATATACAGCCCCAAGTAAAGAAAGCATTTGATCAGGTGCAAGAAGTGGAGAAAGTGTTGATCAGCGTCATTCGTTCCAAACATGATGATAGCCACACCTATGTGCGGAAACTATATTTCAGGAGTTTTGGTGTGACGTTTCATCTACTTCTGAGAAGATATTCAATATTTCATAAAGACGTGCAGTTGCAGGTGGGGAGTGAGCAGCCAGTAGAAATAATTGCCATGACGAATTACTTACCGATAATATATGTGGGCTTACCTTCACAAGCATACACATCTCCAGCATATAGATCATATGGAAAACTTGTTGGAAGGGAATTTGAAGTATTCATTCAAAAAGACAACATTTCCTACTCACTTGAGTGTGATCTTGATAACAATGACAATGTCTTGTACTCTACGTATGGATTTATGCACCATACCCTGGATAAATGTCGCGTTTATCGATGGCTCAACCCCAAAATGTCCAAAGTAATGTCAGAAACTGACATCTGTGACTTGAGATTAAGAAAGTACAGAGATTTTATATACAAGACCATGCCTGAAAACATCCAATATGCCATTAAACATGATCGGCATGGCAGACGCACTGAAAGAAGTTCGACATCACCAAAGGGAAACTGTGTAATTAAACTTGTGGCAGATCACCTGTATTTTCAACATGTTGGTAAAGGTGATGTCAGAAAAACAATTGCTGAAATGGCTGTCAGTTTGGCTGAGGCTGACCTGATATTTCGACAGACCGACTTTGATGGTGATGGAAGTGGGGACAACATCGGCTTCAAAATAGGAAATATCACCATTTACAAAGACTACCAGAATTATAGGATGAAGGATGAAAATATAGACGTGTACACGTACCTTGACAAATTCTCTGAATATGACTTCAGTAATTATTGTTTAGGTGTAGCATATGCTTACAGAAACTTTGAGGATAATATTGTTGGACTTGCTTGGGTTGGTAGTTCCAATGTAAATGGAGCTGCAGGTGGAATATGCCAAAGGAGACTTTGGTATCGACCAGATCAGAAATACTACAGCTTTAACACAGTACTGGTCACACAGTTCAGTCATGGCAATGCGATTTCCTCCTACTCAACAGGTTTGATCCTTGCCCATGAATTTGGACATAGCTTTGGCAGCAGCCATGATCCTAAAGAAAACTCATCTTGTTCTCCTGGTGGGTATTTTGGCAACTATTTAATGTACCCCTACACAAGTGATGGTAGTCTTGCCAACCACCGACGCTTGTCTTCATGCAGCATCAACAGTATCTACCCTGTGTTAGTGAAGAAAAGTGCGAGTTGTTTCAAGATTGATGTTGGTCCAGTTTGTGGCAACACCCTTGTTGAGGGAGGGGAGGAGTGTGACTGTGGAGTGTCAGATGATGTTTGTCAGGACATTGATCCATGCTGTACTCCTGAGCACCCATCAGTCTTTATATCTGATCCTCCGTGCAGCATACGAAAATCCTGGGGCTTTCAATGTTCCCCCCAAGGTGTCCCCCTGCTGCACCACAAGATGTAAATATGTCAGTTCCTCCAGTAGTACTGTGTGTCAACACGCCACAGAGTGTTTGCTGGCAGCCACCTGTCAGCCTGGCAATGATACCTGCCCAACCCCTGCTCTTCACCCAGATGGAACACTGTGTGACGCAGGACGGAGGCTGTGCAGGGGAGGAAGATGCCAGGGCAGTGTTTGTGAGTCTCTTGGTCTCCAGGAATGCCAATGTTCCCGAAAACTCCAAGATGCGTGTTATGTCTGCTGCATCGCAACCAACATCAGCAGCTGCAATTGCTCCCCCATCAGCTCTTATCAGAGTGACAAGACCCATCTGTTCCGCCATAAAGGGGATCCTTGTTTCAACTATGAAGGATTCTGTGATGAAGCTGGTCAGTGTATTCTAAATGATACCAGTATCTATGACGACTTGAGTAAACTGTTTGGTGAGGAAACTGTTGTGAATGTTGGCATCTGGTTCAGTAAATATTGGTATTACATAGTCATGGGCATTCTTATAGCTACAGCTCTTGCTGTCATTGTATCTCTGTTTTTCAAACCCAAAGCAGATGAACACACAGAGGCATTGAGAATTGGCAAACTATCATCTGTACTAGCTCAGGTTGAACAAATCAAGACCATGTTTGAAGACAAGCTGGAGGACTGTGAAGCAGCGTTTGAGAGTGTATCTAGTCACTTGCCAAAGCAGCAGAAGTGTTTGACCGAGGCAGTCGCCAGGCTGACAGTATTCTTCCCTACAGCCCCGATATCTCTACTCATTAAGACAGCCATGTCCAGTTCCTCAGAAGATTTTGCTGTTAAAATGTTGCTTGTGAGGAACTTTCCAATGCAAAGGTTTAGTGTAACTCTGCCTTTAGTGGAGGACAAATCTCTCACACCACTTACACCAAAACAATCAGTGTCTGCCTGAACAACTGTCGTCTTAAGAGCAAAACAACTATATTTAAAAGGGGTGTGCTTTCAGACTCAAATGAATTGAGAGTTGGGACCATGTTGAAGAAGACAGTGTTAACTGTTAAGGGCCATGTTCCAGCATTCGTGGTGCTACAATAATTGCAAATCTACATCAGGGAATGGGAACAAGGATGATGTGAGACTAGCTGGGGCTTGGTCACTCCTGAAGAAATCATTTTATACTAAAATGGGAAATGTATATATACTGTTTCTATAAAGGTATGTCGCCTCAGCCTTGGGTGGATGGAAGCCTGTTTCATTTGATCAATTAGATGTAATGTTGGCATGAATGCGGTTAGTTCCTGTGCTAGCCATGGTTGTACTGTTCAGAAAATCTCTAAGTGAGTTTCTGTTGCTTGTTATGTATATCAGAAAATAAATGTTTTCCTTGTATTAAAAGTGTCAATGGCAAGTTTAAGTCCTCAGTAAGGAAGGCTTACTGTCTATAGATGAAAAACTTTTTTATTAAAGCGTTTTGGTGTAGGATCAGGACTGCAACAGGATGGGGAAGCCAGTTAACAACACAGGATATCTAGATAGAAGCCTTAACAAGTGAAGCCTGCTTTATAAACAAATGGATTGTGAAGCTTGTAGTATAGACAAAACAAAAGACATGGGGATATTTTGATGAGTTGACAGTATCCCGGAGTAATAAAGGGCACAGCCAGATTGCAGTGAGTTGACAGTATGCTGGAGTAATAAAGGGCACAGCCAGATTGCAGTGAGTTGACAGTATCCCGGAGTAATAAAGGGCACAGCCAGATTGCAGTGAGTTGACAGTATCCCGGAGTAATAAAGGGCACAGCCAGATTGCAGTGAGTTGACAGTATCCCGGAGTAATAAAGGGCACAGCCAGATTGCAGTGAGTTGACAGTATCCCGGAGTAATAAAGGGCACAGCCAGATTGCAGTGAGTTGACAGTATCCCGGAGTAATAAAGGGCACAGCCAGATTGCAGTGAGTTGACAGTATCCCGGAGTAATAAAGGGCACAGCCAGATTGCAGTGAGTTGACAGTATCCCGGAGTAATAAAGGGCACAGCCAGATTGCAGTGAGTTGACAGTATCCCGAGGGTAATAAAGGGCACAGCCTGATTGCAGTGAGTTGACAGTATGCCGGAGTAATCAAGGGCACAGCCAGATTGCAGTGAGTGGACAGTATGCCGGAGTAATCAAGGGCACAGCCAGATTGCAGTGAGTTGACAGTATGCCGGAGTAATAAAGGGCACAGCCAGATTGCAGTGAGTTGACAGTATGCTGAGTATAAGGGGCACAGCCAGATAATAAAGGGCACAGCCAGATTGCAGTGAGTTGACAGTATGCTGGAGTAATAAAGGGCACAGCCAGATTGCAGTGAGTTGACAGTATCCCGGAGTAATAAAGGGCACAGCCAGATTGCAGTGAGTTGACAGTATCCCGGAGTAATAAAGGGCACAGCCAGATTGCAGTGAGTTGACAGTATCCCGGAGTAATAAAGGGCACAGCCTGATTGCAGTGAGTTGACAGTATGCCGGAGTAATCAAGGGCACAGCCAGATTGCAGTGAGTGGACAGTATGCCGGAGTAATCAAGGGCACAGCCAGATTGCAGTGAGATTGCAGTGAGTTGACAGTATGCTGGAGTAATAAAGGGCACAGCCAGATTGCAGTGAGTTGACAGTATGCTGGAGTAATAAAGGGCACAGCCAGATTGCAGTGAGTTGACAGTATGCTGGAGTAATAAAGGGCACAGCCAGATTGCAGTGAGTTGACAGTATGCTGGAGTAATAAAGGGCACAGCCAGATTGCAGTGAGTTGACAGTATGCTGGAGTAATAAAGGGCCACAGCCAGATTGCAGATTGCAGTGAGTTGACAGTATCCCGGAGTAATAAAGGGCACAGCCAGATTGCAGTGAGTTGACAGTATGCGAGGAGTAATAAAGGGCACAGCCAGATTGCAGTGAGTTGACAGTATGCTGGTGAGTAATAAAGGGCACAGCCAGATTGCAGTGAGTTGACAGTATGCTGGAGTAATAAAGGGCACAGCCAGATTGCAGTGAGTTGACAGTATGCTGGAGTAATAAAGGGCACAGCCAGATTGCAGTGAGTTGACAGTATCCCGGAGTAATAAAGGGCACAGCCAGATTGCAGTGAGTTGACAGTATCCCGAGTAATATAGGGCACAGCCAGATTGCAGTGAGTTGACAGTATCCCGGAGTAATAAAGGGCACAGCCAGATTGCAGTGAGTTGACAGTATCCCGGAGTAATAAAGGGCACAGCCTGATTGCAGTGAGTTGACAGTATGCCGGAGTAATCAAGGGCACAGCCAGATTGCAGTGAGTTGACAGTATGCGGAGTAATCAAGGGCACAGCCAGATTGCAGTGAGATTGCAGTGAGTTGACAGTATGCCGGAGTAATAAAGGGCACAGCCAGATTGCAGTGAGTTGACAGTATCCCGGAGTAATAAAGGGCACAGCCAGATTGCAGTGAGTTGACAGTATGCCGGAGTAATCAAGGGCACAGCCAGATTGCAGTGAGATTGCAGTGAGTTGACAGTATGCCGGAGTAATAATGGGCACAGCCAGATTGCAGTGAGTTGACAGTATCCCGGAGTAATAAAGGGCACAGCCAGATTGCAGTGAGTTGACAGTATGCTGGAGTAATAAAGGGCACAGCCAGATTGCAGTGAGTTGATAGTATCCCGGAGTAATAAAGGGCACAGCCAGATTGCAGTGAGTTGACAGTATCCCGGAGTAATAAAGGGCACAGCCAGATTGCAGTGAGTTGACAGTATGCTGGAGTAATAATGGGCACAGCCAGATTGCGGTGTACATATACCTTCCACCGTTTTCATAGGAGCAAACAATGACATTTTAGCTGGATCAAAAATCAGAATATGCAAAATACAATTATATGTTATTCATAATGTCTATTGGTGACAGTACACAGCTGTTAGCCATGTATAAATCAGACAAGAATCCTATGAGCACATTTTCAGACACCAAAGATTGAAAGATGTTGAATATAGAAAAGCCTCATTAGGAAACTGGACAGACGGTGAACATGCCATGACACTTGACTGTCAGTGCTTTTTCATGTATGAAATACTGACCGTTCCATTAAGACTATTTCTTATAAATACATGGTGCTTACAATAAACCTTCATTGAGGGAAAAAACTGGAGTAAAACTTGAGGTAAATAATGGTGAAACGATATGGTAAATTTAGTTACAGCGTAAAATGAACTTGATGACAGAAGTCAGGTCATGGATTTTTCCTGAGAAAATGGGCTGAATTTTAGACAGTCAAAAGCAGGTCTTAGCAGATCTCACTTTAAAACCGTTTTGCAAGGATATTTTGAGCCAGTAAGATACTGAGTGCTAAAGTGACAACCTAAAATGAGCAATAATGATAAGACAAAGCATTCATAGCGCTGGTCAAAATGTATTTCATAGAAAATCCTAAGTTGGACAGTCTGGGTTTCAAACTGTGAATGGAATGCATCAGTATTTAGAACAGTATTGATGAACGCCACATGTCTACACCATGTAAGCATTGCTGGGCTCCTTTCTGAGACACCATGTCAGTATTGTGTGTCCACTGGCAGAGAAACCATGTCTGTATTTGTAAGGACCATATAGAGACAGTATCTGTATTTGTGAGGACCACATAGTGTGTATCTGTGAGGACCATATAGAGATAGTATCTGTATCTGTAAGGACCACATAGTGTGTATCTGTGAGGACCATATAGAGACAGTATCTGTATTTGTGAGGACCACGTAGTGTGTATCTGTGAGGACCATATAGAGACAGTATCTGTATTTGTAAGGACCATATAGAGACAGTATCTGTATTTGTAAGGACCACATAGTGTGTATCTGTGAGGACCATATAGAGACAGTATCTGTATTTGTGAGGACCACGTAGTGTGTATCTGTGAGGACCATATAGAGACAGTATCTGTATTTGTAAGGACCATATAGAGACAGTATCTGTATTTGTAAGGACCACATAGTGTGTATCTGTGAGGACCATATAGAGACAGTATCTGTATTTGTGAGGACCACGTAGTGTGTATCTGTGAGGACCATATAGAGACAGTATCTGTATTTGTATGGACCATATAGAGACAGTATCTGTATTTGTGAGGACCACATAGTGTGTATCTGTGAGGACCATATAGAGACAGTATCTGTATCTGTAAGGACCACATAGTGTGTATCTGTGAGGACCATATAGAGACAGTATCTGTATCTGTGAGGACCATATAGAGAGAGTATCTGTATCTGTGAGGACCATATAGAGACAGTAAATGTATCTGTGAGGACCACATAGTGTGTATCTCTGAGGACCATATAGAGAGAGTATCTGTATCTGTGAGGACCACATAGTGTGTATCTGTGAGGACCATATAGAGACAGTATCTGTAAGGACCATATAGAGACAGTATCTGTATCTGTGAGGACCATATAGAGACAGTATCTGTATCAGTGAGGACCATATAGAGACAGTATCTGTATCTGTGAGGACCACATAGTGTGTATCTGTGAGGACCATATAGAGAGAGTATCTGTATCTGTGAGGACCATATAGAGACAGTATCTGTATTTGTGAGGACCATATAGTGTGTATCTGTGAGGACCATATAGATACAGTATCTGTATCTGTGAGGACCATATAGAGAGAGTATCTGTATCTGTGAGGACCATATAGAGACAGTATCTGTATTTGTGAAAACTACTTTGACACTGTCAGTGTCACTATTTACAACCCCAATACTGAGACAGTGTCAATATCTGGAACATGGTCTGATTGTGGCCTTGACTTGGACTTCAGTTTCATCAATTCACACAATACAACTTTGAGAAAGAAACTTAATTGCACTAAAACGTTTATTCATCATAAAAAGACAATCAAATGATTTAAAACACAAATTCAGTGAAAATGAGGTATTTACATATGAATCAATACCATTAAAAACACCCATGAACAGTAAAATTAGAAACAATAAAAGTTTGTCCACGTTTTTAAGATTTTCTATTACATTTCCAGATCTCTATGATGATACAAAGACCTAAAACAATGGACAGTAAAACTGTTAGAGTAAAACAAATGTATATATACACACGCTTATATTATTTATGAGTGCCTACATATAAACAGAGTACATAGCACTGTCCAGAAGGGATGATTGGGCTTGGCTAACAATTGCAGGAAAACATCTGCTAAAAAATCATTTGCACTTGATAACACACCCAACAGCCCCAACACGAATGCTAGAATTACAAGAGTGCACTTGATAACACACCCAACAGCCCCAACACGACTGCTAGAATTACAAGAGTTGTGAAGAACGTCTTGATTCTGCTGTTGATAAACACGACTATATTTTTCCTAAATCCATACTAATCAGTGCTTATATGAAGCAAAGTTTCGTTGTACACACCATTAATTGTTAAATCTGTTGCCACAGAAGTGTCCACTGACAGGCTTCATGGAAGCTGCTTTAGGTCCATGCTGCCTTGCACACTGTAGTCAGGGGGAAATATACATCACCACAATGTGGTAGTCGAGGGAAGGGGGCAGGGCAAGTAGAGGGGGAGGGGCAAGTAGAGGGGGCAGGGCAAGTAGAGGAGGAATGGCTGTGATGAGAGTATGTACAGCCAGCGTTGCTGTTCAGCTTCTGACTGTCTCACCATCAAGCCTTCCCTCCCTTCAGCTCCACCACCACATCCTCCAGGACCGGCTTGAAGGGGATGCATAGGCTGAATAGATCGTTAAAGAATGTGCCGTCATTGTCTCCTCCCCCGAAGATGATGACTTCGTCCTCCTCCTGATTCTCGTGGCTGTAAGGCAGACAGATGGAAAGGTGGCCGGCCCTGGCAGTGGGCGCGCCCTCCACACAGATACAGCTCCAGCTCCTCTCGTCTGAAAGTAGGATTCAAGTGGCAGCTCAAGATACATTCAAATATATACTGAACATCATTGAAAACGCACCACTTATAAAAGTTCAGATTATTAAAAGCACGTGTAAGGAATTGATATTTTTTGAGTGGATAATAACAGATGGACGACTGACAAAAACAACAACACTGAAAAGACGCTCATTCATTGAAATGTTCCACAGCCAGAAAGGATCAAACACACGTGGGGTCAAATCGAAAAGTCAATATCGCGTGTGACCGCCATTTGCAGTGACACATGCAGTTCAACGTTTTCTCATTGGGTCAAAAAGCGTCCGAACAGAGTACTTGAGGATGGTATTCCATCTTCTGCAGTAGTGCAGCCTCAAGTTCCCGGATGTTTCGCATCTGTTGTCGCCGCAAAAGACTTTGACCAATTTCGTCCCACAAGTGCTCCATGGGGGATACATCTGGCGACTGTGCTGGCCAATGAATGACCTGGATGTGTTGCTGGGCTAGATACTGCATGGAAAGTCATGTTGTGTGTGCCCGTGCGTTGTCCTGTTGAAAAATATGGACATCTTGGTGGTGATTGAAGACAGATACGATGTGATTCTGAAGAATCTTCTCACGGTAATAAAGGGCATTAACTCTCCCTTGACAGACAGGAAGGCAGTCCTGTGATTGTAATTTATCCCACTCCAGACCATGACACTCCCACCACCCAAAGGTCTGTCTGAAACCACACACAGCAGCATAACGTTCACCACGTCTACGCCAAACACGTAATTGGCCGTCAGCGTTACGTAGATGAAGACGTGACTCGTCAGTGACTACCACACTATGCCATTGTTGCAACCTTTACTGAAAATGCCTGCTAGCCCATTGTATACGCTCATTATAGTGTCTGTCAGTCAGAATTGGTCCAACGTAAGGATGTCGAGCATGGAGCCCTGTAGCGTGTAGATGGCGTCGCATGGAGTCAGCGCTGATGACCCCCAAGTCAACCTTGAACTAGTGCAGCAGTCCTGGCAGTCGGCATTTTTCAATCACTGATATGGACAAGGTCAATATGGCGATCCTGATGGAGCGTTGTAACACGTTGCTGCCAAGGTCATTGAAGGTCACGGGTGCTGCCTGTCTACTGATGTCTATGAAGCCTAACAATGGTGGAGTGGCCAAGTCCAAGTTGTCGAGCAATATTCCTGCTGCTGGTGCCAACCTGAATCATGCCAAGTGCACATTCTCTCTTGTGAGGTGTTAACCTCGGCATCTCGATTAGTGAAGCAATGAGAATCAGTTCTCGTACACCTGCTTTTAATGTCACAGTCACTATGATTTCAGAATGAAATTCGCGCTTTCTTCATGGCGGGGCCGCATGTTGATGCATTTTGGAATAAAGAGTCATACTGTGGACAGGAATTTGTTTCTAAAGCATTTTTCAACTGGACGTGCCCTTCGACTTTATGTTAGTTATATTCATTGATCATTGTCATGCTGAAATCCATCTTGACAAAAATATGGACAATTTTAGACTGGTGCGTTTTCAATGATGTTCAGTATATCTGTCAACAATCCCCGGAGACAGAACTAGTGATGATCTGGGACCAAAGTACTTTGGATAAAACAAGGGAAATATACCAACATAAAGTAAATAGTACAATAGTACAGTAAAGATATGCTGGATGGAAAAATGACTGTACTGAGATCTTACCTAAGTTGAAAATGTGGGTGTCGTCCAGGGCGTTGTTGCCATCATAGCCGCCATGAATGAGGATGCGGTTGTTGCTGAGGGCGCAGGAAGCATGCCAACTGGAAACACAACCCCACACCATTCATAAAGAGACATGACTGACATGTGGAGACCACAGAACACAAGGTGATACCAAACCTTGGTCAGTATCTACATGCTGAAGCCTTACCAGTTACACGAGGTGATACCAAACCTTGGTCAGTATCTACATGCTGAAGCCTTACCAGTTACACAAGGTGATACCAAACCTTGGTCAGTATCTACATGCTGAAGCCTTACCAGTTACACGAGGTGATACCAAACCTTGGTCAGTATCTACATGCTGAAGCCTTACCAGTTACACAAGGTGATACCAAACCTTGGTCAGTATCTACATGCTGAAGCCTTACCAGTTACACGAGGGTGATACCAAACCTTGGTCAGTATCTACATGCTGAAGCCTTACCAGTTACACAAGGTGATACCAAACCTTGGTCAGTATCTACATGCTGAAGCCTTACCAGTTACACAAGGTGATACCAAACCTTGGTCAGTATCTACATGCTGAAGCCTTACCAGTTACACAAGGTGATACCAAACCTTGGTCAGTATCTACATGCTGAAGCCTTACCAGTTACACAAGGTGATACCAAACCATGGTCAGTATCTACATGCTGAAGCCTTACCAGTTACACGAGGTGATACCAAACCTTGGTCAGTATCTACATGCTGAAGCCTTACCAGTTACACAAGGTGATACCAAACCTTGGTCAGTATCTACATGCTAAAACCTTACCAGTTACACGAGGTGATACCAAACCTTGGTCAGTATCTACATGCTGAAGACTTACCAGTTACACAAGGTGATACCAAACCTTGGTCAGTATCTACATGCTGAAGCCTTACCAGTTACATGAGGTGATACCAAACCTTGGTCAGTATCTACATGCTGAAGCCTTACCAGTAACACAAGATGATACCAAACCTTGGTCAGTATCTACATGCTGAAGCCTTACCAGTTACACAAGGCACCAGTCACTCTGCTTTGTTGCACAAATGTGCACTCATGTCTAACACAGCAACAAATGTCTGACCTGCTACCAAGACAGCAACAGATGTCTGACCCGCTACCAAGACAGTAACTGATGTCTGACATGCTACCAAGACAGTAACTGATGTCTGACCTGTCACCAAGACAGTAACTGATGTCTGACCTGCTACCAAGACAGTAACTGATGTCTGACCTGCTACCAAGACAGTAACTGATGTCTGGCCTGCTACCAAGACAGTAACTGATGTCTGACCTGCTACCAAGACAGTAACTGATGTCTGACATGCTACCAAGACAGTAACTGATGTCTGACATGCTACCAAGACAGTAACTGATGTCTGACATGCTACCAAGACAGTAACTGATGTCTGGCCTGCTACCAAGACAGTAACTGATGTCTGACCTGCTATCAAGACAGTAACTGATGTCTGACTTGCTACCAAGACAGTAACTAACATCTGTCCTGCTCCCAAGACAGGAACTAATATCTGACCTGCTACCAAGACAGTAACTGATGTCTGACCTGCTACCAACACGGTGCAAAAATCCACCCACATGGTGCAACAATTCACCCACAGTGTAACCATCCACAGTATAAGTATGCTTTGGCTTAAAAACAATTACATTCAGAACTTGACCTTTCAGTTAGTTACATACAGTACAATGTCATCAAAGAGTCTCACCTCCGTGCTTTTGGTGGCATGCCTTTGACCTCTGGTTTGGACCAATCAACAGTACCTGAAACCAAGGTCAAATGTCAGCTGGGCATCAAGGCGGACTTAGTGGCATGGAACAAAATACATTTTCCTCTGATTTGACCCTCACTTCATGCCCCATAAAAAGGATGTACAAACACCATCATGAAGGACGTACAAACACCATCATGAAGGACGTACAGATCAACTCACCCATGTCCAGGATATACAAGTCATTGAAGCAGATTGGGGCATCCCATCCTCCAAACACAACCAGTTGGTCCTTGATGAGTGTGGCAGAATGTCTACATACAAGACAAGTACACAGTACATCAGATTAATATATTACATTATGTTAATAAACAAAATGTAATTTTTAGAGTAAAATTGATATTTTATACTTATCCTGACTCATGCTCTTTTGCTTGTCTTCTTCTTCTTGCGAACATAGTGGAACACTTGTATCTCCTTATTTGAAGCTCCCTTCAAAATAAAATCACTAATTGGTACTCACCACGAGTTGCTCCCCTTTGTTTCCCCTGGCGGGAAAGGTGTCGCCACCCTCTGGCCATGTGCTCCACTCTCTCCTGATTTAGCGAGCCCAACACTTGAATTTACAGGGAAATCCAAAGTGTTATGTGGGGAGGATGGGAGGGCTAACCTCATGAGTCAGGATAAGTATAAAATATCAATTTTACTCTAAAAATTACATATTTTTCCTTATCCTGACTCATGCTCTTTACTTGTAGCATCCTACGGAGGCGGAGGTGGGTAACAGAATACTTTGGATTTATAATTAGTGATTTTGTATAGATATACTACTGTAATATCCCCTACAGAACTTCATGAAGGCTTAGATTTAGGATGTTTCCTGTATAAAGAAAACCATAGGTTATATAAAGCCATTAAAGGGAATTACATTATGAATATATTGAACAATACATATAAATTATATATATATATATATAGGTGACTCTGATAGAGGCACTGAAATTGACTATATCAAGTATATGCTTAAGGTTGAATACTTAAGCTGAACATATATACATAGCCCTAAAACTCCATTAGAGTTATAAGCTAGATGAGTATGTATAAAATACATATTAATCTTGTGAGGATAATATTTTAAGCCCTCTCACGAGGGACTGTCAGTTGCTGAGCGAGGACCAGTGGTCGAAATGGTGAATGCCAGAGACATCTTCTGTAGTGATGTCTCTTAGGTAGTGATTAGCAAATACCATGTTAGATTTCCAATAGCATCCTTCCATAATGGAGTGTTCAAGGAACAGTTACCGTGTAGAGGCGAGGGGTAGAGGCCAGTGCCCTGATCTCATGTGGATTTGATGCTGTTGGTGGGTCCAAGCCTGCTGCCTTGTAGGCACGGAGAGAATGACAGTCCTTATCAAATAGATATTGTGGTCCGTGACACTTCTGTTTGATTAAGTGGCGATAATGGGATGAATAAGCGTTTGAGAAATCTTCTCCTTGTTTTGGATCGTCGTAAAATAAACTTTGAAGCTCTTACGGACACAGTGATAGGTCTTGTGTATCTTGTGATCCGAGAATAGAGGATAAGCGCCCGGGATGTGGAATAATCTGTCTGGTTGACCTGGCAGTTGATTTTTCGCGATGAAATCCCATCTTAATCCGAGTGCGCTGTGTTATGATTGTCATCAAACTGTATCCTCTCGTAATCCAGAAGCGTGAATTTCAGACATTCTTGCTGCTGTGGCTAGCGATAGCAGAAACAATGTTTTCTGTGAGAGAAATTCAAAGTTTGTCGATTCCAAAGGTTCATAGACCTCACTTTCGTGAGGTGTTGTAACACTACATTCAGATCCCAAGCTGGAAGTGGAACTTCCGCTTTTGGTCCTCCAATCGGGCTTCGTAGTAAGGCCAGTAACTCTGGAGATCTTGTCAATTTGACACCCGTTCTCATGGTGATTACAGAGCTAAAGCGGCAAGATATGTTGATATCGTTGAACCTTTTAAATGTTTGTTTTGGCGTAGGTAACACAAATAGTCTGCCACTTGAGGTTGTGAAGCCTCTCTTGCTGTAAACCCTTTCTTTGTTGCATAATTTTTGAAACTGTGCCACTTGTCGTCGTACAAGTTCACGAGTTGAGTAGCGTAAAGGCAAGCGTGACTGCTTTTGCCGCCCTGGCAGAATATCCTCTCTTGTTTAAACACATTTGTATACAGTCCATACGTGTAGTTGGAACATTGCTGGGTTTCCGTGCACTTGTTTGGTGTGAGGATGAATTAACAGGTTTCGCGCTTGGGTAGCTCCAGTGTTGGTTGACCGATTTCTTGAATTAGTATGGGAAACCACGTTCTGGCCGACCAGTAGAGGCGACCAAAGTGAGTTGTAGGCTCTGTGTTTGTCTGATTTTCTGTAATACTTGAGGTATTATTGCTGGCGGCGGAAAGCGTCGCGCATGAGGCCTTCCATGATAGACTTAAATCCGTTGCCCAAGCTTGGGGTCTGGGACTGGTGACCACGAATGTCGGTAGCTGATTGTTGAATCGGCGTGGCGAATAGGTCTATTAAGCGGCTCCTAATTGCTTGATTATCTGTGCAAAATTTCCTGTTGATCATCCACTCTGTCGGTGATGGTAGATGAGGCCGAGAGGCGTCTGCTAGTATATTTCTGGCTCGGGAATGTGCACTGCTCTGACATGTAGATTTAGATCTTGTATTAAATCGAACAGTTGAAAGCTTAGGTTCAAAAGGTTCATCGATCTCGTTGAGCCTTGCTTGTTTATGTAGAACGCCACTGTCGAATTGTCTGTATGGATCATTAGACGCCGCATTTTGTAGAAATGTGCTCCAATGTAGAATAAGCGTTGATTACAGCTTTCATTTCTAGACTGTTTATATGGAGTTTGCATTCTTGCTGATTCCATAACCCTGATATCGTGTGGTTGGTGAGATGAGCTCCCCAACCTTGGAGGACGTAACAGCGTCTACATACAGATGGGTTTTGTATTCCTGCTCTGCTAAACAAATCCCTTCGCAGACATTCGATTTCTTGGTCCACCATAGTAGATGTGGTCTGAGATGTTTCGGGTAGACTGAATGGTTGTACATCGTTGAGATGTCGTTGATGATGAGACCTGTAGGGGCGTAACTGTAATCTGCCTGTGACAGTCATGTCTTGGGCTGATGTGAAGACCTAGTAGGCTCTGCCATTGTCGCGAGTGGTAGCGGAGAGTAGAGCTGGTGGAATGGTCTGTTGTATCTTGAGCCAGCGGTCTTCTGGTACCATAATCACGGTTGCGATTTGTGATGAATCGAATACCTAGGAACTGTAGGTCTTCGCGATGGTACTAGGTCCGACTTGCGTAAGTTTACTAACCAACCTAGTTGTGTTAGTAGCTTTATGATGTAATTTAACTGTAGTTTGAGGCGCGAGTGGATCTTGATCTACTTGTATCCCGTCGTCGAGTAAAAGCGCTCTGCAGCCCTTGGCGATGTAGAAATTTGATAATCGGTTTAGATTATCCTCGTGAATAGCCAGGGGCTGATGATATTCGAATGGGAATTACTTTCCACTGGTAATGTAGCCCTTCTAGAGTAAATCGTAGGTATTTCCTGGAATCGGGATGAATGGGGATGTGCAAGTAGGCATCCTGTAGATCTATGCTGCCCATGTAGTCCATAGGACCCGAATCATCTGGCGTAACTGAGGTAAATGTATCATCGAAAACTTCGGTGGTTTTGCGTAGATAGTTCTTGTTGAAAAAGCTCATGTTGTAGATGAGTCTGTATTTCTCCGTGGAGTTTTTCTTGGGAACTAGGAAAACTGGGGAGTAGAAACCTGGTTCGACGTTTGCTTGATCTATTACTTCTATGGCCTGTTTGGATAGGAGTGATGAAACAGCCTCTTTTCTTTGGTAGTTGTTGCGCTTATGTAAATCGAACTTGGGGGTTTGATTGTCAGCGGAGGCTTGGCCTGTAGAGGGATCTGAAATCCGTGTTGAAGAATGTTGGAGGCGTAAAGGGTCTTGCAGTATTCCCCAGTTTTCCCAGTGTAGTTGGAAGCGTCCACCCACTTGAGCTGGTTGTACTGGAGCGGCTGGGGTGGAAGACTCCAGTCGTTCGAACCTGTGTTTCAAGCGTCTATAATTGCGGGAACCTCTGGGTGTCCTGCCTCTTCCTGATCCTCCTCTATAGTTGCCATATGGGCGACGAAAAGAATCTTTACCTCTAGAGCTGGCTATCTTCCTGTCTCTTGCTCTTTGTAGGCCCGTGAACTTAGATCTGCCTGAGTATCTTTGTGAAGTCTGGCCGAATGGCGCTGGCTAGTGTGTCCATCGATCTAATCATAAGGACTTCCCTGGAATCCTTAGAGACTTCCTTGGCGACTTTGTCGATTTCTCCGTCAAAGATGGATGTTGTCGACCACGGGGCTGTATAAAGTGGGGCTGTAAAGTTCTCCCCCCAATTACAGGAGGCGAGGAGGCCTTGACGACGAGCTAAGGTCAGTGCTGCTGAAACAGATGTAAGATGATCCGTTAAAAACTGCTGATCTTTCTTTTTGCATAAGTAAGGCAGAATAAATCATTCTATCATCTTCCGTCGTGGAATCCGGAATCTAGTAATAAGAGTCTCATTGATCGTCCTAGATCTATTTAACCCAAAGAACATCGTCGTCATGGTTTCTATATGAGCCAACTTGCGATCATCCATCTTGTAAATCTTGTTCTTTACATCGCTGATGATCTTATAGTTCTCATCGATGTCCTGGGCCTTGTAGAAGGAGTCCATGTTATCGTGGAGAACTTCTTGGCTTGAAAGTTGGGCAGATGTGGTATCTGAACTTTCGTAGCTTTCTGGAAAGCTGCATCTAGATTCTGTGGCACTGCACGCAATCGGGTCGTCGGGGGTAGAGTGATTGCATCTGGATCATCTTCCTTCATCAAATCGTCTGAGCTGTATTGCCACTTTTAGATGGTGATGTGAGATCTAGGTTATTGACCATCAATACCGTATCTCTGCATCAGAAAATATGATTCCTCCATCATCCTCAAAACCATCATCATTAATAAATTGTAGATGCTCTTCGGGACTGCGTGTAGCTGTCTGTATATCTGATGAGGTTTGTGGCGATCTAGTTGACTTGTGCGCCGCTCTATGTGGAGATCTGATGGGTGATCGACCTGGTGATGAACGGAGTGGAGATCGTCTATGGGATGATCTTCTCGGAGACTTGTGAGGTGAATGTTGATAGCTTCGCGAAGCTCTTCGGCAGTCCCTCGATGTTCTTCTAGACGATGAAGATCTGGAATCATATGTCCTTCGCGAATGCCTTCGCGAAGCTTCATTTGCGTCCGGTCCGGGGGATCGATGATATGACCTTCGCGAAGGCTTCCGTGATGTCTGATGGTCTGAGTCCATATCTAGAGATGAAATCGAAGATGGTGATGATCTCTCCCGCCTTCGCGAAGGCCTTCGCGAAGGCTGTACATCTAGGTCCTTCGTCAAGGTGGTGCGGGACTTCCTTCGCGAAGGTGACATCGTCTTGGCTGCTACGTTGACGGGGGGTGCCTCTGGGGTGCTGTCTACGTTGGAGCCTTCGCGAAGGCTCGGACCCTGCTTGCGCAGTTTGTAGTGGTCCTCCATGATGTTCATAATCTGCCGCATCATGTCTTCTGGGATGATCTGTGACGAAGTCGTCGGCGTCTTTTCTGCGATGGGGTTCACATCAATGGCGTCTGGCGTCGGTGTAGAGGCATCAGGCTGCATGGAGATCTCTGCAGAAGTCACAGTCGCTGACACCGGTCGCTTCTTCTGCCGTAAAGTCGGGGATGATTATCGGCTGATCATCGTAGAGGCCCAACTCTGCTGCTGGAGCGATCTCGGCTGAGAAAGTTCTTGCTGTCTTCGTAGATTTCCCTTTGGAAGTCTGCTGCCCTGGGTGTCCTCAATCTGCGTTGAGGCGGCGATGAGAGCCCTCTTAGACTTAGTCTGCAATGGCCAGGATGTCTGGGGAGGCGGTCGTTTCTTCGAGGAGTAACGGACTCGTCCCACGTTCCTCTGCCGCGGGGTCTCTAGCAGAACACCAGGCGGGAGAGGGTCGATCGCTAGCAGCTGACTGGATGGAATATCTGGACTCTCTGCCATGTTTTGCCCTTGTTTGCGTGATCTATCTGCAGCCGTCTTAAAGAGCGCAAAGATGATATTTATTAAATGCAGAATGAGATAAATTAATGCAGTAACTGCAAGCGTGAATTAAGCGCCTGCAGCAGTAGAACTAGGGCATATTACATGTGGATCGGGAGGCAGAAAAGCGTAATCTACAAATCGTTACAGATTTTCATGAGCGTAAAGCTAGCTGAACAATCCGCGAATACACGTGAATAAACAGTAGAAATCACGATAATTAATCAATACAAATAGTAAAGGATACTAGCTATACCTCTATAGTAACCTATGAGAGGTAAAAACTAAGAGATTATCAAAGGATATGTGTGTAAGGAGACACAAGGCGCTCTCACATCCTGCTCACTGGGCGAAGAAGGAGAGAGTGGAGCACATGGCCAGAGGGTGGCGACACCTTTCCCGCCAGGGGAAACAAAGGGGAGCAACTCGTGGTGAGTACCAATTAGTGATTTTATTTTGAAGGGAGCTTCAAATAAGGAGATACAAGTGTTCCACTATGTTCACAAGAAGAAGAAGACAAGCAAAAGAGCATGAGTCAGGATAAGGAAAAATACACATGTCTGTAGAGCTATTAGAAAACCCTTCACCTGCAGGATATACATCAACATCACAGAACATAACACAACACTCTGAACACAACATACTGAACACCACAACACACTGAACACAACATACTGAACACCACAACACACTGAACACCACCACAACAACATACTGAACACAACATACTGAACACCACAACACACTGAACACAACATACTGAACACCACAACATACTGAACACAACATACTGAACACCACAACATACTGAACACAACACACTGAACACCACAACAACATACTGAACACCACCACAACACACTGAACACAACATACTGAACACCACCACAACATACTGAACACAACACACTGAACACAACACAACAACATACTGAACACCACAACAACATACTGAACACAACATACTGAACACCACAATCACAACACACTGAACACCACCACAACATACTGAACACAACACACTGAACACCACAACACACTGAACACCACAACATACTGAACACAACACACTGAACACAACACCACAACATACTGAACACCACAACACACTGAACACTACAACACACTGAACACAACAACACACTGAACACCACCACAACACACTGAACACAACACCACACTGAACACAACAACACACTGAACACCACCACAACATACTGAACACAACACACTGAACACAACACCACAACATACTGAACACCACAACACACTGAACACTACAACACACTGAACACAACAACACACTGAACACCACCACAACACACTGAACACAACAACACACTGAACACTACAACACACTGAACACAACAACACACTGAACACAACAACACACTGAACACCACCACAACACTGAACACAACAACCACAACACACTGAACACAACGAACTGAACACCACAACCACAACACACTGAACACAACACACTCTACACCACAACAACATACTGAACACCACAACATACTGAACACAACACACTGAACACCACCACAACACACTGAACACCACAACATACTGAACACCACAACATACTGAACACAACACACTGAACACCACCACAACACACTGAACACCACAACATACTGAACACCACAACAACATACTGAACACCACAACACACTGAACACCACCACAACACTGAACACAACACACTGAACACCACCACAACACACTGAACACAACACACTGAACACCACCACAACACACTGAACACAACACACTGAACACCACCACAACACACTGAACACAACACACTGAACACCACCACAACACACTGAACACAGCACATTGAACACCACCACAGCACATTGAACACCACACGCTGAATACCACCACAACACACTGAACACCACCACAACACACTGAACACCACCACAACACACTGAACACCACAACACACTGAACACCACCACAACACACTGAACACAACACCACAACACACTGAACACCACAACACCCCATCCTACACAAACTGACACCACCCCACCCACTTTGGGATAGGGTCAGGGTCAGAGCTGGATACTGTCATCACCTACCCTGAGCGAGGTGCTGGTTTGTCACCAGTGACAATGGGGCAATACCAGTTCTCCATCACAGGGCTGAAGATGTGGATCTCATTACTGCAACCGTCAGGGTTAGGGTCTGGCCGGGGGTACACTCCACCAAATATCCACAGCTCATGGCGGTACAAGGTTGCACTGTGGTATGATCTTGTCGGGGCTTTGCCATTAACCTGTGGAAGTAAGCAAGGTTTTATACATGACCTTGGCGATATACTGCAGTAAGGTATGTCCACTCAAGCTGAAAGTTGAAACTGTCAAAAAGGCTTTGCATATTTGGTCAGTTACTTCAATCAATCATTTAAATATGATAAGTTAAAATCATACATATCTATGATCTATATTAGTAGTCATAAACATTTCACCTTTTGACTGTTAACATTCTGACATGAAACCAATTGATTGAAATAATCAAAGATTGGTTGCAGTGACTTAACGACCAAGCAATCGATCATGTTTTCTCATAATCGAACACAATTTAGGAACACTTGGTTGAATTGACAGTATTTTTCACAAGGTTGGTTTTGTTTGTTACATTTCATAAGCACTACAAGCTCGTTCCAAGTCATGATTGAATTTATCTTAAAGATTCCTGGAAGTATAAACTATATTAGGTGTACATGGTATAAACTCTACATCTGGTGTACATGGTATAAACTCTACATCTGGTGTATACGGTATAAACTCTACATCTGGTGTATACGGTATAAACTCTATATCTGGTGTACACGGTATAAACTCTACATCTGGTGTACATGGTATAAACGCTATATCTGGTGTACATGGTATAAACTCTATATTAGGTGTACATGGTATAAACTCCATATCTGGTGTACATGGTATAAACTCTATGAACTGACAATTTTCCCAGTACATTTTGTCATCTTGAAAACATAATCGGACAGGTAAAGACTTTGTTCTCTCTCCCGAGATAGTTCAGGGCGAAAGTGTGCTTTTTTACACTATACATGGTGGTAGAGCGAACTGTATTTCTTAAGTGAAATCCTGACATGTTAACACTGATCAATCACCTTAATCAGCTGCCACTTCCACTCGTCCACATCCAACATATGCACATCATGGAACCACTTGAGGTTTTTCGATCCACCATACACATATATACAGCGAGCGGTGGGGTCGTAGGTGGCGCTGTGTCCCATACGGTACTCAGTCTTCTGACCCTCTAGCGTCAACTCAGGTGACCGCCACCGTCTGGTGTCTGCAACACAACAGGAACTACACAAACACTCAACGATGGAAGCTTGAACATAGGCGCATGGTGGCAGTCAGATGATGGGTTATTCATGGAGAAAGTGTGTAAAACCACACCTAGCCAGATTCTGCTATGTGACTGTGGACAGTTACCTGGCGTGATTCAGCTGATCACAACACAGCATAGCCTGGACAGAGATGCCAACCCTGGATCACATGAAAGTGGAGTCATGCCTTGCTAAACGCGATTCCCCAGCCCTGAAGGTGCGAGTTGGGGGTGAGCGTGAGAGCGTTTGACGGTAGGGTCTGGGGGGCCTCCCCTATGGAAATCTTTAGATTTAGCCTGGACATGTGCAATCTCTGGACATACTTAACCAGATAATTTTTAACTCAAATGAACAAATTACAAAAATTCTTTCAAACATTCTAAATTTAAAAACATATTTGTATTTTCTAAAAAATCGGAGTTTTTATAGACAAATCTGAGTGTGGATTTTGTATTTGAAAATCGGAGTAACTCCTCCAAAATCGGAGTGGTTGGCATCTCTGCCTGGATGCTAGAACTGATGTGCTCCACATAATGTCAGAGTGTAATAAACAATGGGGAGAGTCTGAACCGTGAACTATTACACAAGTGTTAGTTAGAGATGACAAGCACAGAGATGCCTCAAACACCTCTGCACAAGGCAGACAAATAGCTTTAATTTCTTTAAATATGTAATTTTTAAAGTAAAATTGATATTTTATACTTATCCTGACTCATGATCTTTTGCTTATCTCCCTTTCCTCTTCGAATGGTACAGTCCGTTTGAGTCAGAAATGGACTGATAGATTGCAAATTTTATCATTGTACAAAACTGCCACATAAATATAAGTAGTACACATGTTTATCATTTACTAATACCACTATCTCGTCATGCACGGGATACACATGCCTGATGAAAAATGAAGTTGAATGCTGACATGAAACAGTTGATGATTAAAGTGTACGATTTTTTCTGTGCTGAAGCCAAAAGGGGCAAACCATTTTATGCCATTAATAAATTCCGTAAGCAGGCAGCAAAAGCTTTAGGAGTATCAGCAAGGGTACTGACAAATGTTCTGGAACACAAACATTGTGAGGGTGATGCGAAGCAGGTAGGGGTTGTGTCAAAATCACAAATTAAAACATCTGGACAACTTGCAAAAGAACCTTGTAAGGTAGTCTATCAACAAGCTCGTTTCTCAAAACAATTACATGTCGCTGAAAATTTTTAAAAAGCATTCGAAGCAAGAACACAACCTCAGAGTATCAAAGTACACACTCTGGCGACTCTTACACTCTTTCGGGTATCGTTGTAAGAAAATTTCGGGGGAGAATAGGTCAGTACTCTGTGAACGCCCTGATATCGTTCACTTGAGAAATAATTTTCTCAGGGTTATAAAGAAGAAGTGCGAGGAAGGGTTCGAGCCAGTGTACTTGGACGAGACCTGAGTCAATGCTTCGCACACTGCCAGTAGTCAGTGGGTACCTGATGGGGGTGATAAGGGGTCACGTAGAAAGCTGCCTCTAGGGAAAGGAGAGAGACTAATCATTCTCCATGCTGGTTGCTACAGCAAAGGCTTCCTCCCAGGCTGCGACTTGGTATTCAGGGCAAAGTCCACAGACAACAGAGACTACAATTCCGAGATGAATGGTGCGGTTTTCCTCGATTGGGTTAAAAACAAGTTGGTACCAGCTCTACCAGAGATGTCTTTTATCGTAATGGACATTGCCCCGTACCATAGCGTGCAGGACCCCGACAGTAAAGCCCTGACATTGAACAGTCGAAAGGTGATATGATATCATGGCTCCACAAATTTCAGATCGCACGCCCTTCAAAGGCAACGAAGCCTCAGCTATATGAGATCATAAAAACCCACAAAGGTGAGCCTTTCTACAAAGTTGACAGTTACATAAAAAGTAAGGGTCACGATATTCTGGGACTTCCACCCTATCACTGTGACCTTAACCCCATTGAAATGATTTTGGGGTATTGTCAAAGGAGATGTTGCCAGATCAAACACAACTTTTAGATTACGTGACGTAGAGGTTTTGGTTAAGGAATCCCTTAACAAAATCACGACTGAAACTTGGCAAAACTGTCAACAAGGTAGCTAACGTCATTGAACAAGGTTACTGGTCTCGGGATGGCTTACAACAGGCAACTGTGGCACCACTTGTCATCCCTTTAAGTCGAGACTATGACACTACGACAGACGAGGAACCGACAGGTCTCCCGGAATAGATTTTGAGATGTACCCCGCCATGACTGGCTGTTCCGTTTCTGCGGTTTCGGCCCGCTGCGACAGATAACAACTTTTGTGTTTTCAATGATGATAGTTTCTTAAACAACTTTTTGGTGGAGTCCGGAAAATATTAAAATATCAGAAAGTTGTTGGGTATTAGTAAATGATAAACATGTGTACTATTTTTATTTTTGTGGCAATTTTGTACAATGATAAAGTTTGCCTTTCTGACTCAAACGGACTGTAGTGGAACACTTGAATCCTTTGAAGTTCCCGAAGCAGACGTATAAATACACTCACCCACTAGTTACCTCCCTTTGCCCTTTCCCTCGCAAACCAGTCAGGTGACCTTCCTTACTTGTCACTCTCTCCTGATTTTCTGCCCATGCACTTGGATCTGCTGTGAAATCTCAAGTGTCTTCAACAGGGAAGTTGGGAGGGCTTCTCGTCATGAGTCAGGATAAGTATAAAATATCAATTTTCCTTTAAATATTACATATTTTTCATTATCCTGACTCATGATCTTTTGCTTATAGAATCCGACAGATTGGTGGTGGGTCAAGCCACTGGATGCAACAGCTGTCCTTAGATACGTCCTGTATCCCCCACATGGGAACTGCGAACAGCAATTCCATGATCCTATTCTTCCAACTTCCGTTATAACTCGGGGTGGGGGGTGGTTTGAGAAAAACAAACAAACAAAACAAACAAAACAACACTTTCTTGTCTTACTTCAATCTCAGACAAGTTGAATCATGTTGATTCATGTGGCTACAGATAAACTAGTACCTTCCTATTACTAAATATCTCATAACAACCCATAGATTATGATAAGATCTTTATCATAAATGAGTTGCGACCCCTTCACGTACAGGTAAGATCTTTACCCGTACAGGATCTTTAATCACTCATGCTAGCCTGTCTTAGACTGTGCGCATGGACTTTCAAACTAGTACTTTTCCTTATCAACAAGTCAACGTGATAAAGGGTGAGATTTTCCAACTCAGCGCCTTTGAGGAACCGTTAGTTGCTGTGCTACAACGAGAGGCCCAAATTGGTCAATGCCTGAGATGTATTCAGTGGCTATGTCTCGGAGGTAGTGGATGGCAAACACCGTGTCTGACTTCCAGAAGCAGCCCTCCATTATTGTTGGTATAGAGCAATTTCTGTGCAGAGCCAGTGTTGACTCCAGTGCTCTGACTTCGTGTGGGTTGGAAGCTCTAGGAGGTTCTAGTCCTGCTGCTTTATAGGCTCTCAATATAACGGCTCTCATCCAGAACGATATGGGATGAACAGTGGCTTGAATTTTTGTCTCCCCGTCTCAGTCTTTTGAAGCTGCTCTGACTGGACACTGACTGGACACAAGGATAAGACCTCTATATCATGTGGACCGAGGACTGTAGACAGCGCTGGTACGTGGAACTGTCTATCTGGTTCACCAGGTAGCTGGTTCTTGGCAATAAAGTCCCATCTAAGTCCTATCTAAGTCCTAGATGAACTGCATTATGTTGCCGTCTGTCGAATGTGGTTCGACCAAAGTCCAGCGCATGTATCTCCGATATTCGAGCTGCCGTGGCTAACGCAAGCAGGAACAGCGTCTTCTGTGTTAGCTAAGGCTGTAACGAATCACTTGCATATTCGGTGAATCGAACCGTAGCCCTTCATGAATTCAATTCGTTATTCGTGGTCACCAAAACCGAATATTAACGAATATTTACGATTTTTTTAAGGGAGCACATTTTACTTGAACCCTTGTGTACTTTTGGAAAGTGAGATATGCAAGAATGGAATATGTATTAGCCTTGCAGTAGCGCAAGTCATGTTAGTTTGCCAAGGCCGCACATGGTACTGTCAACTATAGCTATTACATACCAAATTTGAGTGTCTTGAGATTATTGGTGATTGCTGTGACAAATCAAAACTGTCAATATGGGCATTCCATATTGTACGTCAATCACTTAACTACAATATTGTATTCGTGAATAATTATTTGTATTCGTTACCCAATACAGTCAGACCTCGTTAATACGAACACTTTGTTTTTTTTAAAAAAACGTTCGGATAGTGAAACGTTCGGACTGCTGAAACCACAGTATATGCACCGAGTTACTTCCCCTTGATATCTTTCCTTACTATCGAGACTCTGAGGTCATAGATGAAGCCTATGTTTATGAAGGAAAATATAACGTCCAGATAAACCACGAAAGAAGCAAAAACTATGGCGATTTTTTTTACATTTGTGACATGTCATAACATGCCAGTGCCTTTTTCTTTTATATTTTCATTTTTACGTCATCAGAAAATTATTATAAAAAGATTTCTTAAGTAATATGTATGGTCGCCTATTTCCCGATATCTGTGGCTTTCCGCTCGGTAACATGACATAACAACAGAAAATACCTCCGTTTTGGAAGCGCCGTATGAATAACATGGGAGGCGAATCGTTTGATGTCGGGTATCTTTCGAAAGCTCTGAACATCAACATCACTGAACCCTTGCCGAGAGTATGTTCACAGTTGTTGGATAAAAATTGGTTTCTAATGACGCTTTTTCGCTACAGTCTGCTATACGGGTCGTGATTGGTCAAAATCAGACACGTGACCTAAGGCAGCCAATCATATTACGGCAATGGATATCGTCCTCGTAAATGAAAACTTTTAGATTTAGACGAAAGTTTTGGGTAAAGTAATGCTATTTTGAACATATTAAGCAAGAAATCGCTACCTATACGTAAATCATGGAATTTATTGGACGTATCGTGCTAGGTTATGACCTTCATGTATATATTTTGTTGATTTTATTCATTAGTTTATTCAATTTATTTAATGAATTCCTCGAAACATCGTTACTTTGCTCTTTGACAATGTTATTGTGGCCCCGCTGCCGAAGCATGTGTCCGAGAATCGTTGTTTTCAATAACATTGTGAAAAATACTTTATAAGTTTAATTCGTGTTGAAACGGTACCGAGCATATGTTTCTGGATTGAAGTCTTTCCCAAAACAGCGTGGTCGTCGAAATTTCCCTATCACTTATGATAAAGGGATCAAAGGGATGAGTCGCTAAGTCACTAAACAAACAACATGTCACTTTGGGTGGACAAGTCAGCAGCGCGGTCAACTTCAATCGTTCGGATTAACGCAGCTGTTTACAACTTAATTAGTCCAATCCGTTCCGACTGACCAGCGTTCGGAGGCGGAAGCTGAATCATCGGACTAACGAGGTGTCAATTATATACAATATATAGGCAGATGATTTGGTGCCCAGTGAGTAGCGTTCGGAAGTCGGTGGATTCGGATTAACGAGGTCCGGATTACCGCGGCCTGACTGTATTCATGATACGTATCATATTCACCACATAGTGTATTCGTTGCAGCCCTAGTGTTAGCAGCTCGAGCGTAATCGAGGTTCGTAAACATCACTCGTAAGATGACGTAGAATTACATTTAGATCCCAGGCTGGAGCACTGAATTTCTTTTGCTGGTACTCCAGCTTAAAAGATCTCAGCAGAGCAAGTAATTCTGGTACTTTCATCAACTTGATGCCTGTTTTCATGTATGTAGATAGTGTCGAACCTTCAGATGTCTGGTCTGTCTCAGATGACATAAATATTCCGCCACTTGAGGATGAGTGGTTATCATCGCTGTGAAGCCTTTCCACCTTGCGTAAGTCTCAAACTTCAGCCATTTGTCGTCATATAGGTTGCAAGTCGATCTGCGTAACGCTAGCATTACTGCTTTGGCTGCCTTGGCGGAGTATCCTCTTTTCTTCAAGCATGTTTTGATACGGTCCACACGTGTCACTGGAACACTCTTGGTTTCCGTGGACTGTCTTGGTGTGCGGATGTATTCGAAGGTTTGGCCAATCTGGTAATTTGATTACTGGGTTTCCGAGATCTTCTATTAGGTCTGGGAACCATGCTCTCCCTGGCTAGTAGAGCGCGACCAAAGTCAGTTGTAGCGTCTTAGTCTGTGTGATCATGAACAGTACTTTTGGCAGTAGTATCGGGGGTGGAAAAGCGTAGCAGTTTAATCCTTCCCACGACATGCTCAGTGCATCTGTTGCCCAGGCTTGAGGATCTGGAACTTGCGAGACAAACGTCTGTAGTTGTTTGTTGACCCTCGTGGCAAACAGGTCTATGCAAGGGGATCCTATCTCTCTTATGTTCGGAAACGCTTCTGGATGGAGCATCCATTCCATAGGTGACGGGTGTAGTGGTCTTACGAGAACGTCTGCCAGTACGTTCTTTGCTCCGGGTATGTGACACGCCTTTATCCAGATGTTTGCTTCCTGTGTGATCTGGAACAACTGGAATGTGAGCTGCAAAAGGCTTGGAGACTTTGTGGATACTTGCCGGTTTATGGAGAACGCCACTGTAGAGTTATCCGTGTGGATCATCAGCATTTTGTTGTTCAGCAAGCTCGACCATAGCTGTAAGGCATTGATCACTGCTTTCATCTCTAGCAGATTGATGTACAGCTGCTGTTCTATTTTGGACAACTCTCCTGACGCCACTTGATCGTTGAGATGCGCACCCCATCCTTGCATCGAGGCGTCTGCGTAGAGATGTGTGTTGAAGGCCGGCTCTTGTAAATAGGTCCCTTCACAAACGTTCGACCTGTGTGTCCACCACAGTAGATACCTCTTGAGGTTTTCCGGCAGCAAGATAGGGTCGACACTGTCTGAATGTTTCATCAGGAACCGTTGCAGCGGTCTTAGTTGTAACCTTCCTGTGCGAGTCAAGTCCTGCGCAGAGGTTAGTAGACCGAGTAGACATTGCCATGTTCGTAGTGTTAACAGAGAGATGACTGCTTGTTGAATCATGGCTTGTATCTTGACCCAACGATCTTCTGGGACCACAATTCGATTCTGTGTTGTGATAATTCTTATTCCCAGCAATTGAAGATCTTGTTTGATTCTAACTCCAATCTTCATCAGGTTCACTAGCCATCCTAGTTGCGTGAGCAACTTAATTGTGAAGTTCAGCTGCTGTCTGAGTTGATTGGCACTCTGAAGAACCTGTATGCCGTAGTCCAGATAACCGGCACTGCGTAGACCTTGGTGCTGCAGATAGGTGCCGACAGGCTTGGTTGTTCGTATGAATAATCATAGAGCCGACGATATTCCAAACGGTAGGACGTTCCATTGGAAGTGCTAACCTCTGATTGCAGTGATGATACATCATTCTTCCCCTTATACACGCAGGCGATCTGTGTTGACATCGAAGCGTTGTCTATTTACAGCACGGCTGGCTCCAGTGTAGCATCGCAGGGGACAGGTACTCATACCGAATTTTATCAGTGAGAACTTCCAAAATAAACATCGTTTATCCTGCTGTCAAGGTTAGACATCTATTAGATTCTCATGATGATAACAGGCCGTGTATTCCCCCGCACCACGGGTTTGTTTACAAATCAGAAAACATGCTGGAGCCTGCTCTGTCAGTGGGAGGCGTTGTCTGACGTGGACCATAGGTGATATCATATTGGAGTCGAAGTCATCAGCGTATATGCAGTACGTCTCTGTTGGGTTGGAGTTAGTGAGTGAATGACAATATCCGCAGGTCATCTGCTACCCGGTATAAGACCTCAGCATCCGTATAGATGAAGTGATTCCTATCATCAAGTAGGTTGCCGTCCGAAACTGAAATTATACAGGTACAAGGTTTGTGCAGGTTGTAGAGTTGTGCAGGCTGTAACCGTTCTGTTGATGTAAGGGTTTGCAAACCCTGTGGATGTCTGCATTGCTGTTATCTGCCTGTAGATCTGAGAGTTCTCGAACCTTGTAGATGTCTGTAGCTTTCTCAAAGCTGCTCTTAGGTTAGAAGGTACCTTGGATATAGGTTCAATCAGAGGGATTGTGACGGAGTCGAAGTCATCGTTACGCATCATATAAGTGTAGACTTCATCTTTATCCTTAGAAGGAGACTCCAAGTTCAACCCATTAGCAATCCATTCCCAGTCTGGGAAGATGAAGTCCGTTTGCAAGTCCGAAGTCTCCTGATTATTAGAGCTAGGTCTCAACAATTCATCCACCTGCGAACGTCTATCTTGAGAGTGTTCTCTCCGCGAACCTCTATCTGTGGATACATCTCTTCGCGAACCTCTGTGAGGTGATCTATCTCCTCGCGAACCTCTGGCTTGAGGTGAGTAACTTTGCGAACGCCTGTGCAAGATATGAGATCTCGACCTAGAGCGGCTAGGTGTAGGGGCTGGATCCTTCAATGTTCTCGAACGTTGAGGGTTCGCAGAAGTATATTTGAGAATAGGTAAGTCATCTCTTCTATCCTCCAAGATGACAGAGTCGTCCGACTGTGAAGACCTTCGCCAACGCCGCCTTGAGGAATAGTTCCAAGAGGAATAGATTCGCGCAGGCCCGTGGGTTCGCACACGGTGTCGGTAGAGGAGAGGCTTTTCCTAGCCTTCGATTCCTCCTGGAATCTACGTTCCATCATGGCCATTATCTGGTTGGTGAATTGAGTCATAAATTCCCCTGGGTCGAAGTTCTGCATAGGTTGACGCTGCTGCGGTGTAGATGAAGCATTCGCGAACGCTGATAAGTTATGTGCCTCAACTTCAGTCCGAGAAGTAAGAGGTAGTACGTCAACAGCTTCCTGCTGTGACTGTAGTAGAGGACAATCTCGTAGTAGTAGAGGTCGACAGAGTCGTAGATCTCATAGATACTTCAGGTAGAAGTAAAGGGGGGCCGTCAAAAACGTCTAGTTCGTGAGGAGGTACAATCTCTTCGTTGAAGGATTTCTCGTGCGTAGATGAGCTAGCACGCGTAGATTTGCCCTCCAAACTGGTAACAGTAGACTTCTTCTGCGTTGTAGAAGAGGATGACGTCTTTTTCTTAGTCTGAGACGGAGTTGACTGAGATGTAGACAATCTCTTCCTGGCCCCCTAACGCACTAAACATAGCACCAATATTATGTACATCAGCAGTAGCAAGCAACATATGGTTTGATGACTGATCTCCAGTTTTATCAACCGTTACGTGAGATGACTTTCTCACCCGATCCATGGCACGTCTATAGATATAAGACAAATATTGATTAAATTGAAGATTTGATAAATCAACACAATTAGTACAGCGCAAGCTGGAAGAACATGGTTTTATGCACTGACTGACTGACTGACTGAGTTTGGTTTTACGCCGCTTTTAGCAATATTCCAGCAACATCACGGCGGGGGACACCAGAAATGTTTTATGCACGAAGGCACTGGGGGTGAGGATCAGCCACGGATAACCTGTGCCTCCAAACACTGCAAGATTTCCTGAAATGTAAACAAAGTTACATAACGATGAAAACACAACTCAAATGTAATTAATTTCTAAGTAGTAATAGTCAAATCCATATACATCGTAATTTAATTTTGAAGAATAGGACCTAAATATAAAAGGATATAATGCCATATACAGGACTCCAGTGCTCGCCCAACCATCCGCTTGGGCGAAAAGGGAGAGAGTGACAAGTAAGGAAGGTCACCTGACTGGTAACTCGTGGGTGAGTGTATTTATACGTCCGCTTTGGGAACTTCAAGGGATTCAAGTGTTCCACTACCATTCGAAGAGGAAAGGGAGATAAGCAAAAGATCATGAGTCAGGATAAGGAAAAATCTATTGTTTTTGGCAATCCAAGCCTGATCAATAGCCTAGTGATTTCAAGTGATAGATGTACCTGGGTCGAGCGTCCACACTGCATCGCGGCTCAGCTGCTGCCGATCACCCTGGCCGCCAACCAACACAGCCCGGTTGTTGTGGATCATGCACATGGACGACCCCCATCGGCTGCTGGGACTCGGAGCTGAAGACAAAACACAAACATACAAACAACCTTGCACATTGTGCCGATTATGAGAGATACCACAGCCTCATCTACATATCTTATGATGCTAGAAAGTGATCAACATGTGATTGTTGGCAGTTGGAACCCATGCCATCTTATCATCGGAGCAACTTATCGTTGTATGTTTAACAAATCTCTAGAGAAATCCCAGTTTGAACAAGGTACTCCAGATAAATTTCTAGCCACACTTTGAGTAATACAGTGATAGCAACTACAGTGGACTCTGTCAATACCGGCCTCTCTTAACACCGGCACTCTGTCTACATCGGCACAAAGTTTCAGTCCCGGCAGAAATGCACGTTATTATCATTTAGAAACCTCTGTAAACATCGGCATCTGTCTATTCAGGATATCGGCATTGTTTTTCAGTCCCAACGAACAAGTTGTTATGAAAACGAATCTGTAAAAACCGGCACATGAAAGACGGCGTAACCCTTTGATGCAATTAGGTCCAAATGATGTAACAACACAATTCGTTGTGACTCCCGAGATTATTCAGAAACGGGAAGTGTTAATCAGTATCTTGTTAATCAGTGAGTGGTACTTAACACTTACCTAGAGTAATTAATACATGTAGTGGGCAGTTTGACTGTATAAACAAGCAAGTGTTTACATTTTGTTGATTCGCGGGTATTGACTCCCGTGATTATTCAGAAACGGGAAGTGTCAATCAGTTTCTTGTTAATTAGTGAGTGGCACGTGTCACTTACATAGAGGCTTAATCGCTTGATGGCGGTATCGCTCGAAGCTCTGAACATCAACAATATCACTGTACTCTTGCCGGTATATTTTCACATTTGTAAGAAGCGATTTTATTGGATAAAGATTGGTTTCTAACGACGCTTTTTCACTACACTCTGCTTATAAGGGTCGGATTGGTCAAAATCAGACACGGACCTAAGCAGCCAATCATATTATGGAAATGGATACCGGCCCTCGTGAAACGAAAAGTTTTAGATTAAGACGAAAGTTTTGGGTAAAATAATGCTATTCTGAACATATTAAGAAAGACATCGCTACCTATACGTGAAATCATGGAACGATTGGACATATCGCGCTAGGTTATGGCCTATGACAAAATGCTTCACGATATATTTTCACATTAAGCATCGTGGTGAAAGCCGAGATGTAACTTGTCAGTGACTTGACTTACATTGCATGATCGCCAAAAGAATGGAAATAGTAATTTTATATGTACGCTTGACAACTTTTATGAATGTTATTGTTGATTTCAATTTATTTAATGATTTCCTCGATGTTTGAAACATCGCTACTTTGCTCTTTGACAATGCTATTGTAGACCCGCCGCCAAGCATAAACAAGAATCGTTGTTTGCAATAACATTGCGAAAAATAGTTTATAATTTTAATTCTGCCGATAATATATGATCAGTTGAAATTTAATAAGAGATTTCAGACATTTTTATTTGATTTAAACAACATGAATGTGCATTCAGACACTGCCTTGTTTCTTATTCAAACATCTTGTTAATGCTAAAGTGACAGTACGACAGTGAACTTCCGTGTGCGCAGGCGTCATAAGCGAACCTAGCTAAACCGGCACTCTGTCAAAACCGGCATTTTTACTTGGTCCCGACTGATGCCGGTATTGACAGAGTACACTGTACTTTGTTTCAGGCTCAATGATGATGATGATGATGTGAAGCCTGAACTATCACTCCCATGTTGTCATTTTACATATTTATGTTTACGAACTGTTTAAAATATCATTTAGATAAAATAGTTACTGCATATATATATATATATATATATATATATATATATATATATATCACTTTACGCATTCTACAGGACAATAACAACAATAACATGAACATTTCTTCTGAACACCACACAGCAATGAAGTTTTAAACATGTTGGCACATGATAAACTTCATGAATGTATGTAGCTTAGACTAGTTTCAGCAGAAACACTGTTTACCAAACAGCTCCTGCACCTATTTCCAGTGTTATTTTTATCGCAACTTTATATCAAGGGGATCTTTTTATCAATCAGTTTGTTTAAACTGACGTAAGTACATGTTTTTGTTAGTGAAACAAAGTTTGTGTTTATATTGATGTGGTACATGCTTCATGCATGCACAAAATGTTGAAGCCAAACAATAAATCCTGGAACTATTAACGGTACAGTTTTTCATGTGAAACTACCCCAATTTATCATATTACTCTTTCCATGTGGTCCGAAACCTGGAGATATCGCCAGAAAAATCCCTGGTCACATGGGGGCACCCGAGAAATGTTGTACCCCCAAAACCATGACCTATCTTTCTAAACCTGCCTACTAAAATTCCGAAGTTTAAAGTTTAAACTGAACCAAACCTGCAACATACCCCTAATTGAGACATCTTTACATCGAGAGAGTCTTGGTCCAGTTTTGGGCAGTATGTCTGAATTCTTTTCATTCAGTACAGGCGTTCCTACTGTTTCAGAATTCTTCTTGCCAAATTTCTTTGGAGTTTTGAATTCATTCTTGAGTGCCCTCATCCTGGTGTTGAGTTTTTGTTTGCGTGCGGCAGGACCTTCTGGTGTTCCGTCTGTGCTCTCACGGCCCCTCTTTTTCTGTTTTGTCTTACGTGGCAGTGGTGATGGCGTGGACAGCTACAATGAGATCACAAATCTTGGTCAATGTACACAATATTTTTCAACAACTGAACATTACATTCTAATCAGGCAAGTTCCAGCTTAATACAGCAAAACAGGAGCCTACTGGACCAACAGCTGGGTGAGGGAGGTCCAGGACAAACACTGGACCTGACATGGCAACATGGAACCTACTGGACCGACAGCTGGGTGAGGGAGGTGCAGGACAAACACTGGACTTGACATGAGCAACATGGAACCTACTGGATCGACAGCTGAGTGAGGGAGGGAGGGCCAGGACAAACACTGGACCTGACATGGCAACATGGAACCTACTGGACCGACAGCTGGGTGAGGGAGGTGCAGGACAAACACTGGACTTGACATGAGCAAAATGGAACCTACTGGACCGACAGCTGGGTGAGGGAGGGAGGGCCAGGACAAACACTGGACCTGGCATGGCAACATGGAACCTACTGGACCGACAGCTGGGTGAGGGAGGTGCAGGACAAACACTGGACATGACATGGCCACATGGAACCTACTGGACCGACAGCTGGGTGAGGGAGGTGCAGGACAAACACTGGACTTGACATGAGCAACATGGAACTACTGGACCGACAGCTGGGTGAGGGAGGTCCAGGACAAACACTGGACTTGACATGAGCAACATGGAACCTACTGGACCGACAGCTGGGTGAGGGAGGGAGGTCCAGGACAAACACTGGACCTGACATGGCAACATGGAACCTACTGGACCAACAGCTGGGTGAGGGTGTCCAGGACAAACACTGGACCTGACATGGCATCATGGAACCTACTGGACCGACAGCTGGGTGAGGGAGGGAGGTCCAGGACAAACACTGGACCTGACATGGCAACATGGAACCTACTGGACCGACAGCTGGGTGAGGGAGGGAGGTCCAGGACAAACACTGGACCTGACATGGCATCATGAGCAACATGGAACCTACTGGACCCACAGCTGGGTGAAGGAGGGAGGACACATTCAAATATGAATTCTTGAGACAGTGAAACTTTTCCTTTTGCTTGCTGACCTGTGGTGTGTTTTCATTTTCTTCTTGTATATTCTCCTCCTTCACCACCTCTTCCTCTGTGGTAGGTGTTGCGAGACAGCTGATGTCACTGTGGTCAACCCCCTGCACTTCCACACACAGCTTGGCCAGCGAACACAGCGCTGTTGTTGTGTTCAAGCCTTGCTGTGTCCTTGGTCTTTTCCCACAGAATACATCTGCACACAAAAATTCATTGTCAATTTCAAAGACAAATAGTCATCCCTCGCAATAACGCTCTTCGCAATGGATCCCATAAGTTGCCCAACTATCACGCGTCATCAGAAATAGCATATCAACAAATCTGTTGTTGTGCCCCGGTTAATCATGTTGTAAACTAACGAAGTCAAGTGTGGATTGCAATAAACAGTGCAAGTTCCGGCTTAGTTGAATAACAGGTACTGAGGTAGCACAAAAGGATCGACAATTATCATGCCTAGAGATGTTTGATTGCAAGTTTCCTATACATACGAGGGTCGATCAAAAAGTATGTAGCCTAACTATATTCTCGATGTCCAATGTTTGAAAAGCTTCCATTTTATTTTGAAGGAATCGTTAGCAAAGCCATATCCAAACTTTCACATGTGTGGGTAATGTGGTTAACCAGATATTTGTCATCACAACAAAATTGGGGTATAATATTTCTAACAAAATTGCAGAAAATGAAAAAGTTTAAACGATTTGTCTTTTGGTACCTCTTGGATAATGGTATGCCCTCAGATAATGTCACATAAAACATGTTCAGTATAGTATTGGATGACTTCCCGTCATGATCAACAGTCAAGGATTTGGATTACCTGATTTATACTACTCCAAACAAGTTAAGGGTCATGTGATGTCATCATGTAATGTTATCGATGAGGCTGGTTGCATTATGCATGAATAAAACTTTACATTCCGTGTTTGATAGTTTATTCAAAACCATTGCAGAACCTGGATAAAGGCTGCAGATAACCGTGGTGCCAATAGTCATCATGTGGGAGGGTGGTAAAAAATGAACAAATTGAAACATCGAGTGCTTCACAGAAGCGCCACCACTGCGCTTGTAGAAGATGTTTCATCATGAACAACATTTGCACTTGTTCTTCGTGGGATTAGTGCTGTGCATGCTTATTTTCCCTATAAAACTTGTAATTTGTCGCATTGTTATTGTCATTTGAAATTCAACAATAGCAAGACGTCAACTGAGCATGACAGACAGAGAAAGAGCTCTTGCTTGGCTTCAAGATGGCGAACCTCAACGCTGTGTGGCTCAGAGACTAAATGTGAGTCAGAGTGTCATTGGAAGGTTATGACACAGGTTTCCTGTCAGTGGAATGCTGAATAATCGACCACGTTCTGGCAGGCCTCCATCAACAACTCCTAGAGAAGACCGATAACTGGCAAATATGGCCCTCCCACAACGTAGAGTAACTGCCAGACAATTCCGTGACCAACTGAGAGCTGCCACAAGTACCCTGGTATCTGATCAGACTGTCAGGAACCGACTGACAAGGAACAATCTTCGGCCACGGCGACCAGCAGTACGACCACCGCTCCTTCAGCGAAACGTGACAGCAAGACATAACTGGTGTAGACGCCATGTTCGTTGGCAACGTGCTCAGTGGGCATCAGCTCTTTTCTCCGACGATTCTAGGTTTACTCTACAGTTTAATGATGGTAGAACTTGTGTGTGTCGGTGTCCAGGAGGGAGGTTTGCTGACGTTTGCCATATGGAGGCTGGGGTGTCATGGTTTGGGGTGAGTTTTCCTTTCATCAAAGGACACCTCTCTATGTCATTAATGGTAACCTGACCGAAAATCGCTATCTACGGGAGATTATCTGACCCCTTGTTTTGCCATGTTTACAACGTATCGGTGTCGGATCCATATTCCAAGATGACAATGCCCGACCACACCGTGGCCGTGTTATGACGGACTTCCGTAGACAGAACAATGTTCAGCACATGGAATGCCCGGCATATTCAGCAGATTTAGCCCCTATGGAACATGCTTGGGACGAGTTAGGATGTCGGCTTCGTAACAACCACGCCCCTCCAAACAACCGTGCAGAAATGGCCCAGTATCTCATTGCAGAATGGCAGGCAATACCCCAAGCCTTCTTCCAACGTCTGGTGAACAGTATGAGACAGAGGTGCACTGCTTGTCTTACTACTCGAGGTTGTTACATCCGTTATTAGTCCAATGTTGGCGTTTGAATTTTCACTTCTGACAGTAGGTCACTTTGACCTTATTGATCAGCTATCACTGACATTCCTGCTGTTTTTGTCTCCCGTTAAGGATATCATAAAATGTTGGCTCGAGTTGTCATATGATCGCTACATTCCACTGTTATCTATATTTGTAGTTATGGCTATTAAATGTTTTTAGCCTTAACTTGTTTTGAGTAGTATATATTTAGTCGGGGGCTATTTTTTAAGGACATCCCCATTTTAATCTTTCAAAAACATTGTGTTCAGATATTCAAGCTGGCACTGTTTACAATATATTGTGAGCTGACACTTGTGTGACCATTCAGTATTTAGTTTGAACCCTTGGCATCATGTATGCATAAGTGAAAACATTAGAATACGCTATGCCCTTATGATTACGTCATCTGAAAGGGGGATGGGTATTGTCTCTAAAACAAGCTCTTTCAGTCAACATGAAGGTAGTCACTTTAACAAACGACTGTAATTTCAAATTGCTTTTTTATGAACTTGAATATCTAAGTGTGATTCTAGGGGACTTCTATCAATCTCAAACACACAAAATATTTCTTGCAAATTTTGTTTCCTGATGTTTTTGATGCATTTATTGTAGATTTTGCGTTTTTTGAGGGTACCAAGATAAAAGGTAAAACAAAATGGGAATAGTGACTGTGGAACATAGCAAAACCAAATTGCTTGAGCTTGACAGATAATATGTAGAAAATAAAACATAAAAATAACTGCATTTGTATCGTTTTCTTGGTGAGTCTACATACTTTTTGATTGCCCCTCGTATATATCTATGTTCATTTACAAAGTTTTGTCTTTTCACCTCCGACAATATGACATAATTGACTTGACACAATACACGAAATAGCAGTTCTGTTATGCACATGGAATATACGATTTTACTTGGCCTTTAGACTGCCTCTGTGGTGTAGTGGTTAGAGTGTCCGCCCGGAGATCGGAAGGTCGCGGGTTCGATCCCCGACCGCGTCATACCAAAAGACGTTAAATACAGTACTGGTTGGTCCCTGCCTGGCTCTCGGCATTAATGGGTACAACAAGGACTGGTTGGCTCACAGCCAGTATAATGTGTCTGAGTGGGGTATTCATGCTTCACTGCGGCATGGTATCTCAGTGGTCGAGCACAATAAAACCAACTTCAGTCTGGGCTAGTACAAGCAGCCGCACCTACACATACACACACATGCACATCGTCATATGAGCGAAATATTCTCAAGCACGACGTAAAACCCAATTTCACCTCACCTGGCCTTTAATGTGGATGGTTATCCGTGGACCCCAAGACCCACATTATGGTGAAGGATACCTGTATAACTCTTCACCTGATTAAGAAAACTAAATGGACATTGCCTTGATAATTTATGAAAAGCACTGCTGAGAATTGGTGACGTCAATTTGTCTCATCCAACAGCAGCATCAATAAAGCCTCTCCAACAGGGATCAGTTTTACATCACTGAACACAATCGCAATGGTGTCAACAGCAAAAGCATGGAGCCTGTGTAAACAGGAAGCCAATACAGTTGCAACAATTATACACAAAGAATGCATGGGATGAATTGGCAAATTCTCTCTGAAACAATTTGTCGCCATACGTTCACAATTAGAATGAGCTTAGCCTTGAAGAATGCCTAGGGCTCCCCTCGAGCGTGCTGCATGGGACGTGTTAGGGTGAAGTGCTGTGAACACATTCATGCTCCAATCTTAATTTCCACGCAGTGTCAAGAGCAGTTAGCAGAAATCTATATGACAGTAATAAACTTTTAGTAAGGAATGTTCTATAACATTCCTGCATTTTAGACAGATATGAAGACTTTTGAAATTCATTTCTAGCAGGAGAAAGACGTGCTGCAGTGACAATGATCAGTTTGTTTCAACCTATACCTCTCAAATATTAAAGGAACTTTGCTGTAAATATGACTGAGGGGCAATCCTGAGTCAACTGACCTCTTCTGTATCTGAACTGACAGACCCAAGTTTCAATCTTTTAATATCAGGACTATGACCATGATTCTGCAATGTTTATGGTTCATTTTAAACACTGAGCTTCAGAAAAAGGGCATATTTATGGAAATTATGCAATACATATCACCATTACCCAATGACGTTTGAGCTGCATGCATGTAAATATTATTGTGTAGAACTAAACATGACACACAAACACTTTAACACTTCACCTCGTTGTGAAACTGGGATTTGAACACATACCTTGTGTGTTTATCTAGTGAACCAAACTGTATCCTGTCATCGCCAAGGGTGATGCTGACATCAAGTGCTGTACCTGACTTCTTTGTTTCTTTGTCGCCTGGAAACTTTCCCAGGGAGAAAAGCACCACGGTGTCTGGGAGTGGCACCGGCAGCCTGCTGTAGAAGCAGGAACTGCTGTCAGACCTGCAACAGCAACAAACACAGTGTCAAGGTCAAGTAGAAATGCACAGGATATCAAGTTTTGAATTTTACCTATCAGTCTTGCAGACTTGATAACTTCAATGGATGCAGTTTATTCATAGAGACATTGCTAACTTGAAGTCGGTAGAACAAGGATATACATAAGAAAGTTTCCTTGTGAAACATCCCATGTATAACTAATGTTACTTGTGGACAGTGATTCAGCATCAACAAACACTGAAACAGATTGTTTAATCAGCATTCTAGGCGAGTCAAAAATGAAACACACAACTTTATTGAAAACAACTTCTTGTTTATTGCTTTAAGCCTGATAAAGATGTAAGAATCTACATCGAAAATTTGCTTTATGCAATAAACAACAGGTTGTCATCCATAAAGTTGTGTTTCATTATTATCAACAAAATGGCTTTAAATGCTCATATATCCGTCAGACTGTGGCTCCTGTAGTGTAAACCTTTGACCCCAGGCATGTTAACAGGTTGGGGAAACCTACCGATCGACTTATAATAGGCCAAACGGGATATAACAGGCCGTTCCGCCTATTTTGCTATAGGCCAATTGGCCTATAATTATGATATTTATCAAATAAATTTGAAGTGGTGCATTTCCGCATGAGGATATTAACATCATTCAAGTTTTGATGTCCTAAGGTTTTCATTCAAACCCTTTTTGAGCATTTTCATCACATAATAAAGGAGTTTGGAAATTGCTAATTAAATATAAGACTATAATATTTTTGACAATTTTCACTGAAAATTAATGACATAGATATTCAGTTTTAGTTGTCAAAATGAAAATCTGTGCAAAATTGTGTTCTTAAATGAAACATCTTTCCCTGAACATTATATAAATTTCCATTTTATCCAAAAACTTATTTTTTTCAAGATGAGCAGGTCCATTAACTATTCATCTCTATGATCTAATAAAACCATTTCGTGCGGAAATTGATAGTTTGTGAAATGTTAATAATAATGGTCAAATATAGCCTGATCGGCCTATAGCAAAATAGGCAGAACGGCCTATAATATCCCGTTCGGCCTTTTATAGGCCGATCGGTAGGTTTCCCCAACCTGGTTATGCTGGAGTAGTACCTGTCCCACTTATCCAAATCTTTTTGGCAGACGACTGCAGGAATGGCGAGTTATCTGCTGGTTTCAAGTCTTGCAATCTTACTGTTTACCCTCCAACAACATAGCAGGCATTGATTTTACCTCACTATATCACTCGTGACAAATGACTATGTTCATTACTGACTACTAATGATCACTAATTACTTCTCTGTAGTTACTAGACTACTACTTAACAAGAAACATTTGCCCGAGCCTTCATCGTAAAATTACCCTATACCCATGATAACGAAGGCCTGAACCTATGGCCGACCTCCCGGTCGCGTCCTTCAACACACATTTCATGGATTTTACGAAAACAAACGTGCTGAGCATACTCACCGGGTCAGTTCTACAGGGGGTGACTGAATGTCTGATAACAGATATAGTTTAAAACCGTTCATGTTTCCAGTTTTCACAACATTCATGCAGCACTACTGACCCTCCCAAACTCGTCCGCCGACAACCACAATGAAATTTGGCGCGTATTTTGGCTTCGGACAAATTCTTGAACGAGAGTTACTTCCCTTTGATAGATTCTTATAGTTTGTTTCGGATAAAGATCCAGATTGTTTTACGAAATGGTGGGCAAGTGGATGTGGGCCGAGCTAATGTTGCTTTTAGGACAGTATCATATAACTAACAGGAAGAAAGTCCGTCACTTACAGCAACATAGGGACAAATACAGATGGTTCACTTTCACTAACAGAGCGACCAGTAGAGCTGCGTCACTTTCACTAACAGACCGACCAGTATAGCTGCGTCACTTTCACTAACAGAGGGACCAGCATAGCTGCGTCACTTTCATTAACAGAGCGACCAGTATAGCTGCGTCACTTTCACTAACAGAGCGACCAGTATAGCTGCGTCACTTTCACTAACAGAGGGACCAGTATAGCTGCGTTACTTTCAATAACAGAGCGACCAGTATACCTGCGTCACTTTCACTAACAGACCGACCAGTATAGCTGCGTCACTTTCATCAACAGAGCGAACAGTATAGCTGCGTCACTTTCACAAACAGAGGGATCAGTATAGCTGCGTCACTTACAGCAACAGAGGGACCAGTATAGCTGCGTCAGCAACAGAGGGACCAGTATAGCTGCGTCACTTACAGCAACAGAGGGACCAGTATAGCTGCGTCACTTACAGCAACAGAGGGATCAGTATAGCTGCGTCACTTACAGCAACAGAGGGATCAGTATAGCTGCGTCACTTACAGCAACAGAGGGACCAGTATAGCTGCGTCACTTACAGCAACAGAGGGACCAGTATAGCTGCGTCACAACAGAGGGATCAGTATAGCTGCGTCACTTACAGCAACAGAGGGACCAGTATAGCTGCGTCACTTACAGCAACAGAGGGACCAGTATAGCTGTACGTGTTACTTTCACTAAAAGAGGGACCAGTATAGCTGCGTCACTTTCACTAAAAGAGGGACCAGTATAGCTGTGTCACTTACAGCAACAGAGGGACCAGTATAGCTGTGTCACTTACAGCAACAGAGGGATCAGTATAGCTGCGTCACTTTCACTATCAGAGGGACCAGTATAGCTGTGTCACTTTCACTAACAGAGGGATCGGTATAGCTGTACGTGTCACTTTCACTAAAAGAGGGACCAGTATAGCTGTGTCACTTTCACTAACAGAGGGACCAGTATAGCTGCGTCACTTTCACTAACAGAGGGACCAGTATAGCTGTGTCACTTTCACTAACAGAGGGATCAGTATAGCTGTACGTGTCACTTTCACTAAAAGAGGGACCAGTATAGCTGCGTCACTTTCACTAACAGAGGGACCAGTATAGCTGTGTCACTTTCACTAACAGAGGGATCAGTATAGCTGTACGTGTCACTTTCACTAACAGAGGGACCAGTATAGCTGCGTCACTTTCACTAACAGAGGGACCAGTATAGCTGTGTCACTTTCACTAACAGAGGGACCAGTATAGCTGTACGTGTCACTTTCACTAAAAGAGGGACCAGTATAGCTGTGTCACTTTCACTAAAAGAGGGACCAGTATAGCCGTGTCACTTACAGCAACAGAGGGATCAGTATAGCTGTGTCACTTACAGCAACAGAGGGATCAGTATAGCTGCGTCACTTTCACTAACAGAGGGACCAGTATAGCTGCGTCACTTTCACTAACAGAGGGACCAGTATAGCTGTGTCACTTACAGCAACAGAGGGATCAGTATAGCTGCGTCACTTTCACTAACAGAGGGACCAGTATATCTGCGTCACTTACAGCAACAGAGGGATCAGTATAGCTGCGTCACTTTCACTAACAGAGGGACCAGTATAGCTGTGTCACTTTCACTAACAGAGGGATCAGTATAGCTGTACGTGTCACTTTCACTAAAAGAGGGACCAGTATAGCTGTGTCACTTTCACTAACAGAGGGACCAGTATAGCTGCGTCACTTTCACTAACAGAGGGACCAGTATAGCTGTGTCACTTTCACTAACAGAGGGATCAGTATAGCTGTACGTGTCACTTTCACTAAAAGAGGGACCAGTATAGCTGCGTCACTTTCACTAACAGAGGGACCAGTATAGCTGTGTCACTTTCACTAACAGAGGGATCAGTATAGCTGTACGTGTCACTTTCACTAACAGAGGGACCAGTATAGCTGCGTCACTTTCACTAACAGAGGGACCAGTATAGCTGTGTCACTTTCACTAACAGAGGGACCAGTATAGCTGTACGTGCCACTTACAGCAACAGAGGGATCAGTATAGCTGTGTCACTTACAGCAACAGAGGGATCAGTATAGTTGCGTCACTTTCACTAACAGAGGGACCAGTATAGCTGCGTCACTTTCACTAACAGAGGGGCTAGTATAGCTGCGTCACTTACAGCAACAGAGGGATCAGTATAGCTGTGTCACTTTCACAAACAGAGCGACCAGTATAGCTGCGTCACTTACAGCAACAGAGGGACCAGTATAGCTGTGTCACTTACAGCAACAGAGGGACCAGTATAGCTGTGTCACTTTCACAAACAGAGGGACCAGTATAGCTGCGTCACTTTTACTAACAGAGGGACCAGTATAGCTGCGTCACTTTCACTAAAAGAGCGACCAGCATAGCTGCGTCACTTTCAATAACAGTGGGACCAGTATAGCAGCGTCACTTTCACTAACAGAGCGACCAGTATAGCTGCGTCACTTTCACTAACAGAGGGACCAGTATAGCTGCGTGACTTTCACTAACAGAGGGACCAGTATAGCTGCGTCACTTTTACTAACAGAGGGACCAGTATAGAAGCGCCACTTTCACTAACAGAGGGACCAGTATAGCTGCGTCACTTTCACTAACAGAGCAACCAGTATAGCTGCGTCACTTTCACTAACAGAGGGACCAGTATAGCTGCGTCACTTTCACTAACAGAGGGACCAGCATAGCTGTCACTTTCACTAACAGAGGGACCAGTATAGCTGCGTCACTTTCACTAACAGAGGGACCAGTATAGCTGTGTCACTTACAGCAACAGAGGGACCAGTATAGCTGTGTCACTTTTACTAACAGAGCGACCAGTATAGCTGCGTCACTTACAGCAACAGAGGGACCAGTATAGCTGTGTCACTTTCACAAACAGAGGGACCAGTATAGCTGTGTCACTTTCACAAACAGAGGGGCTAGTATAGCTGCGTCACTTTCACTAAAAGAGGGACCAGTATAGCTGCGTCACTTTCAATAACAGTGGGACCAGTATAGCTGCGTCACTTTCACTAACAGAGCGACCAGTATAGCTGCGTCACTTTCACTAACAGAGGGACCAGTATAGCTGCGTGAATTTCACTAACAGAGGGACCAGTATAGCTGCGTGACTTTCACTAACAGAGGGACCAGTATATCTGCGTCACTTTCACTAACAGAGCGACCAGTATAGCTGCGTCACTTTCACTAACAGAGGGACCAGTATAGCTGTGTCAATTGCAGCAACAGAGGGACCAGTACAGCTGCGTCACTTTTACTAACAGAGGGACCAGTATAGAAGCGCCACTTTCACTAACAGAGCGACCAGTATAGCTGCGTCACTTTCACTAACAGAGGGACCAGTATAGCTGCGTCACTTTCACTAACAGAGGGACCAGTATAGCTGCGTCACTTTCACTAACAGAGGGACCAGCATAGCTGTCACTTTCACTAACAGAGGGACCAGCATAGCTGTCACTTTCACTAACAGAGGGACCAGTATAGCTGCGTCACTTTCACTAACAGAGGGACCAGTATAGCTGTGTCACTTACAGCAACAGAGGGACCAGTATAGCTGTGTCACTTTTACTAACAGAGCGACCAGTATAGCTGCGTCACTTACAGCAACAGAGGGACCAGTATAGCTGCGTCACTTTCACTAACAGAGCGACCAGTATAGCTGTGTCACTTACAGCAACAGAGGGACCAGTATAGCTGCGTCACTTTCACTAACAGAGGGACCAGTATAGCTGCGTCACTTTCACTAACAGAGGGACCAGTATAGCTGTGTCACTTACAGCAACAGAGGGACCAGTATAACTGCGTCACTTTTACTAACAGAGGGACCAGTATAGCTGCGTCACTTTCACTAACAGAGCGACCAGTATAGCTGCGTCACTTTCAATAACAGTGGGACCAGTATAGCTGCGTCACTTTCACTTTCACCCTACATTATCTAACCCTACATTATCTCACTCTACATTTTCTCACTCTACATTACCTCACTCTACATTACCTCACCCTACAATACCTCACTCTACATTACCTCACCCTACATTACCTCACTCTAAATTACCAAACCCTACATTATCTACCCCTACATTATCTCACGCAACATTGCCTCACCTTACATTATCTCACCCTACATTACCTCTCCCTACTATATATCACCCTACATTATCTAACCTTACATTATCTAACCCTACATTACCTCACCCTACATTAGCTCACTTTACATTATCTGACGCAACATTTCCTCACCTTACATTATCTTACCCTACATTACCTCACCCGACATTACCTCACTCTACATTACCTTACCCAACATTACCTCACACTACACTACCTCACTCTACATTGCCTCACCCTACATTACCTCACTCTACATTATCTCACGCAACATTGCCTCACCTTACATTATCTTACCCTACATTACCTCACCCTACGTTACCTCTCTCTACATTATCTAACGCTACATTACCTCTCTCTACATTATCCCACCCTACATTACCTCACACTACATTACCTCTCTCTACATTATCTCAAGCAACATTGCCTCACCCTGCATTATCTTACCTTACATTACTTCACCCTACATTATCTTACCCTACATTACCTTACCCAACATTACCTCACTCAACATTATCTCACTGTACATTACCTCACCCTGCATTATCTTACCTTACATTATCTCACCCTACATTATCTCACCCTACCTCATCCCAGCCTACAATATCTCAACCTACATTATCTCAGCATACATTATCCTACCCTACATTCCCTCACCCTACATTATCACACCTACATTACCTCATCCTATATTATCCCACCCTACATTACCTCACACTACAGTACCTCACCCTACATTACCTCACTCTACATTATCTAACCCTACATTATCTCACTCTACATTTTCTCACTCTACATTACCTCACTCTACATTACCTCACCCTACATTACCTCACTCTAAATTACCAACCCTACATTATCTAACCCTACATTATCTCACGCAACATTGCCTCACCTTACACTATCTCTCTCGCTACATTACCTCACCCTACATTATATCACCCTACATTATCTAACCTTACATTATCTCACGCAACATTACCTCACCTTACATTATCTAACCCTACATTAGCTCACCCTAAATTAGCTCACTCTACATTATCTGACGCAACATTTCCTCACCTTACATTATCTTACCCTACATTACCATACCCACCATTACCTCACTCTACATTACCTCACTCTACATTGCCTCACCCTACATTACCTCACTTTAAATTATCTCACTCAACATTGCCTCACCTTACATTATCTTACCCTACATTACCTCTCTCTACATTATGTTACCCTACATTACCTCTCTCTACATTATGTTACCCTACATTACCTCTCTCTACATTATGTTACCCTACATTACCTCTCTCTGCATTATGTTACCTTACATTACCTCTCTCTACATTATGTTACCCTACATTACCTCTCTCTACATTATGTTACCCTACATTACCTCTCTCTACATTATGTTACCCTACATTACCTCTCTCTACATTATGTTACCCTACATTACCTCTCTCTACATTATGTTACCTTACATTACCTCACCCTACATAACCTCTCTCTACATTGTCTCAAGCAACATTGCCTCACCTTAGATGATCTTACCCTACATTACTTCAACCTTACATTATCTTTACCCTTTACATTACCTTTACCTAACATTACCTTAACTCAACATTGCCCCTCACCTTACATTATCTCACCCCTATGTGTTGCCTCACTCTCACATTATCTTTACTCCTACATTATCTCTGCTACATTACCTCTCTACATTACCTCACTCTACATTCCTCACACTACATTATCTAACCCTACATTATCTCATATGCAACATTGTTTAACCTTACATTATCTTTAATCTATAGTAATTCTACCCATACATTATCTCAATACATTATCTCACCCTTACATTACCTCACCCTTTACATTATCTCACCCAACATTACCTCACCCTACATTACCGCTCTCTACATTTACTCATCCTACATTATCTCACCTTACATTATCTCACCCTACATGATCTCACCATACATTACCTCACCCTACATTATCTCACACTACATTACCTCAATCTACATTATCTCACCCTACATTACCTCACCCTACATAATCTCACACTACATTAACTCAATCTACATTATCTCAACCTACATTCTCTAACCCTATATTACTCCCTAATTCTACATTATCTCACACTGTGCATTACTCACCTTACATTACCTCACCCTACATAATCTCACATCACATTACCTCACCCTACATTTACTCACTCTACATTATCTCAACCTAAATTATCTAACCCTATATTACCTCATCCTACATTATCTCACCCTACATTACCTCACTCTACAGTAACTCACCCTACATTACTTCACCCTACATTATCTCACCCTACATTATCTTACCATACATTACCTCACCGAAAATAACCCACTCTACATTAGCTCACCCTACATTACCTCACTCTACATTATCTCACGCAACATTGCCTCTCCTTACATGACCTCACACTACATTACCTCACACTACATTACCTCACTTTACATTACCTAACTCTACATTACCTCACTCTACATTTTCTCATCCTACATCATCTCACACTACATTATCTCACTCTATGTTGTCTCACCCTAAATTACCTCACCGTACATTACCTCACCCTGCATTATCTTACCTTACATTATCTCACCCTACATTATCTCACCCTACCTCATCCCAGCCTACAATATCTCAACCTACATTACCTCAGCATACATTATCTTACCCTACATTCCCTCACCCTACATTATCACACCTACATTACCTCATCCTACATTACCTCACACTACAGTACCTCACCCTACATTACCTCACTCTACATTACCTCACCCTACATTATCTCACTCTACATTTTCTCACTCTACATTACCTCACTCTACATTACCTCACCCTACAATACCTCACTCTACATTACCTCACCCTACATTACCTCACTCTAAATTACCAAACCCTACATGATCTAACCCTACATTATCTTATGAAACATTGCCTCACCTTACATTATCACACCCTACATTACCTCACCCTACATTATATCACCCTACATTATCTAACCTTACATTACCTCACCCTACATTACCTCACCCTACACTTCCTCACCCTACATTATCTCACCCTACATTACCTCACCCTACAGTATCTCACGCAACATAACCTCACCTTACATTATCTAACCCTACATTACCTCACCCTACATTATCTTACCCTACATTACCTCACCCAACATTACCCCACTCACATTACCTCACCCTACATTACCTCACCCAACACTTCCTCACCCTACATTATCTCACCCTACATTACCTCACCCTACATTATCTCAACCTATATTAACTCATACTACATAATCTCACCCTACATTACCTCACCCTACATTACCTCACCCTACATTATCTCACCCTCCGTTATCTAACCTTACATTATCTCACCTTACATGATCTCACCAACATTAACCTCAGCCTACATTACCTCACTCTACAGTACCTCACCCTACATTACCTCACTCTAAATTACCAAACCCTACATTATCTAACCCTACATTATCTCATGAAACATTGCCTCACCTTACATTATCTCACCCTACATTACCTCACTCTACATTACCTCACCCTACATTATCTGACCAACATTACCTCACCCTACATTACATCACCCTACATTACCTCACTCTACATTACCTCACCCTACATTACCGCACCCTACATTACCTCACCCTATATTATCTTATCCTACATTATTTCACCCTACATTACCTCACTCTACCTCACCCTACATTACCCCACCCTACATTATCTAACGCTACATTACCTCATTCTACATTATCTAACGCTACATTACCTCACCCTACATTATCTAACGCTACATTACCTCACTCTACATTACCTCACTCTACATTATCTTATCCTACATTATTTCACCCTACATTACCTCACCCTACATTATCTAACGCTACATTACCTCACTCTACATTACCTCACCCTACATTACCCCACCCTACATTACCTCACCCTACATTATCTGACCCTTCTTTACCTCTCCCTACAATATCTTTCCCTACATTACCTCACCCTACATTACCTCACCCTTCTTTATATAACCCTACATTATCTCACGCAACATTACCTCACTCTACATTATCTCACCCTACGTTACCTCACCCTATATTATCTTATCCTACATTATCTCACCCTACATTACCTCACTCTACCTGACCCTACATTACCTGACCCTACATTACCGCACCCTACATTACCTCACCCTACATTATCTAACTCTACATTATCTCACGCAACATTACCTCACCTTACATTATCTCACCCTTCGTCACCTCACCCTACAATATCTTACCCTACATTACCTCACCTACTTTATCTAACCCTACATTATCTCACGCAACATTACCTCACTCTACATTATCTCACCCTATGTTACCTCACCCTACATTAGTAATAGTAATAGAAATAGTCCGCTTTTATGGCGCTCATATCCAGGCACATTGCCTGCTCACGGTGCTACGTACATTACTAACCCCGGTCATAGGACACTATCTTACTTTCCGATACTTTTTCAACTCCCTGGGGATCATACAGCCATGCTGTCTGCTAGGTCGCAATGAACTTAACACTCACATTGCCAGCACATTTTACAGCTGGGTGAACTGAGGCAATGTGGATCTAAGTATCTTGTCCAAGGATACTACGCAAATGTGCCCACCTCGGGACCCGAACCTAGGTGCCTCCACCGGGGATCGAACCCGGGCCTTCAGCGTGATAGGCAGACGCCTTACCACTGCACTAGTGCGCTCCACATTACCTCACTGTTGCACGTGATACAGGTCAATTGTTGTGCAGAAATGTGCACAATGTAAAATATGGTCATGTCGTGACAAGGAGGCAGGTCTACTAAATCACATATCACATTGTTCATCCTGTATGTAAGAAATCAGCATTACCTGTGTCGTGCTGTACCTGGCCTGGGTGAGAAACGGTGTGGATACAAGGTAAGTTGGAGTGTTGAAATACATGCATGGACACAATGAGAGCCAGATGTGTAGCGGAACATCCAGTAATCTTTATTCAAACTGTACATACATTGTCCCGCAGGAATAATCTCACCCTGTGCGAATCTGGCCACGTAAGGACAAGGAAGTAAGTCAGCGTTATTTATGACATGTTCACGTAACCTACCGTGTGGAGAGGGCTGGCGTGGTGTGTGAAGGATATGGATGTGGAGGAATAATTGAGAAGGCGTATATTACTTGTTAAAAGGTGAGTGAAGGAAGGACTCAAGGGACTAAGCGTGGGTAAAGGAAGGAGTGGATGAAGGAATGAATTGTATAGGTAGTAACGAGTGAAGGCTAAGAGGTGTGAATCAGTGATGGAATGAGAGAAGCGGAGAGTGACAGGCTCTTGGCATGATCTTGGCATGATTTTGGCATGTTGGAAACTGGATGCAGTCAGTGTTTCCAAGTCTGTGATTAGCGGACTATGGAAGATGTACCAACTAACCATGGATGTTGACCCCGTTTAGAACATCTAAAGTCAGGAGTACAGGATCCGAAACTTGCAGAATAGCTGCAAACTAGAGGATTGGAGATGATTAGAAATAGTGTACATCAGCTTATCTCCACGGTCGACGGTGACAAGGTAATCGTTGCTGATCACGTATGGTCAAGACGCCTCCGTCCACGGAATCGTCAATGCACTTTCCAAACATAAACCCAGCCCTTATGCCCATTGGACACGTCTAGACATGATACGGAGATTGGAACCTGAGGTCTTTCTCCTTGTCTACACCACACTCGGACACGACGATCTGTAAAGTCTATCGAGGGTGTATCTCGATTCATCAGTGAAAGGTACAGGATCCAGGATCTATAAGATAAGGAAACGGAACCGTTTTATGTTCAGGTTGTAAGAGGACACGTGGTATATGGACGGTACATAAACGATCTGTTCTACCTAATTTACCGTGAATACGTACACGTTCTTAAACAATATCTGTTCCTTTGTTCCAGATGATTGCCGTTAGAAAGCTAGAAAGTCTAAATGAGAAATTCTTGACCTGCCCAATATGTACAGAGGGATACAAAGACCCCTGCACTTTGACCTGTGGCCACACCTTCTGTAAGGTCTGTCTGGGGAAGTTCCTGAAGACCAGACAAGATGCCATCAGTGCCAAGTCCATCCCGTGTCCCCATTGTCGACAGCTGACCCGAGTTCCTCATTCTGACAGACCAGTGGAGGAGTGGGTGAGACAGATCAAGCCCAGCTTTCTCATCCAGGGACTACTGGACACTCTGTCGAGCGTCGACGATTCTGTGCATAGTGAGTAAATGTAAACATGCCTCCGCCAATAATCACATCGCTTCGCCCATTTACGTACCGCTTCAATACACACTGGATATCCTAGAGTAGAAATATACCCAGGTTCATATACACCACCGTATTCCCAGGTCTATAAAACCCACCGTATTCCCAGGTCTATAAACACACCCGTATTCCCAGGTCTATAAACACCACTGTATTCCCAGGTTTATATACACCACCGTATTCCCAGGTCTATAAACACCACCGTATTCCCAGGTCTATAAACACCACTGTATTCCCAGGTCTATAAACACCACTGTATTCCCAGGTTTATATACACCACCGTATTCCCAGATCTATAAACACCAGTGTATTCCCAGGTCTATAAGCACCACTGTATTCCCAGATCTATAAACACCACTGTATTCCCAGGTCTATAAACACCACCGTATTCCTAGGTCTAAATACACCACCGTTTTCCCAGGTTTATAAACACCACTGTATTCCCAGGTCTATAAACACCACTGTATTCCTAGGTCTAAATACACCACCGTTTTCCCAGGTTTATATACACCACCGTATTCCCAGGTCTATATACACCACCGTATTCCCAGGTTTATATACACCACCGTATTCCCAGGTCTATATAAACCACCGTATTCCCTGGTTTATATACACCACCGTATTCTCCGGTTTATATACACCACCGTATTCCCAGGTATATAAACACCACCGTATTCCCAGGTTTATATACACCAGCGTATTCCCAGGTCTATATACACCAGCCTTTTCCCAGGTTTATATACACCACCGTATTCCCAGGTTTATATACACCACCGTATTCCATGGTCTATAAACACCACTGTATTCCTAGGTTTATAAACACCACTGTATTCCCAGGTCTATAAACACCACCGTATTCCCAGGTTTATAAACACCACTGTATTCCCAGGCTTATATACACCACTGTATGCCCAGGTTTATATACACCACCGTATTCCCAGGTTTATAAACCCCACTGTATTCCCAGGTCTATAAACACCACCGTATTCCCAGGTTAATAAACCCCACTGTATTCCCCGGTCTATAAACACCACCGTATTCCCAGGTTTATATACACCACCGTATTACCAGGTTTATATACACCACCGTATTCCCAGGTCTATAAACACCACTGTATTCCCAGGTTTATATACACCACCGTATTCCCCGGTCTATAAACACCACCGTATCCCCAGGTTTATATACACCACCGTATTCCCAGGTATATAAACACCACCGTATTCCCAGGTCTATAAACACCATCGTATCCCCAGGTTTATATACACCACCGTATTCCCAGGTATATAAACACCACCGTACCCCGAGGTGTAGAAACTACCACCGTATCTCCTGGGAGCTGTTGTACAAAACAACCTTAGCGCTAAGATTACCTTAAGTCTATGTTAAGGTATGGGAGTTACGGTCACCTTAGTGCTAAGATTACCTTAAGTCTATGTTAAGGTATGGGAGTTACGGTCACCTTAGCGCCAAGATCGCTTTGTACAACGGCAACCAGGTATATAAACACCACCGTATCCCCAGGTTTATATACACCACCGTATCCCCAGGTCTATAAACACCACCGTATCCCCAGGTTTATATACACCACCGTATCCCCAGGTCTATAAACACCACCGCATCCCCAGGTTTATATACACCACCGTATTCCCCGGTCTATATACACCACGGTATTCCCAGGTTTATATACACCACCGTATTTCCAGGTATATAAACACCACCGTACCCCGAGGTGTAGAAACTACCACCGTACCCCGAGGTGTAGAAAAACTACCACCGTGTACCCAGGTTTATATACACCACCGTATTCCCAGGTTTATATACACCACCGTATTCCCAGGTATATAAACACCACCGTATTCCCAGGTTTATATACACCACCGTATTCCCCGGTCTATATACACCACCGTATTCCCAGGTTTATATACACCACCGTATTCCCAGGTATATAAACACCACCGTACCCCGAGGTGTAGAAACTACCACCGTATCTCCTGGGTGCTGTTGTACAAAACAACCTTAGCGCTAAGACTACCTTTAGTCTATGTTAAGGTATGGGAGTTACGGTCACCTTAGCGCTAAAATATCCTTAAGTCTATGTTAAGGTATGGGAGTAACGGTCACCTTAGCGCTAAGATAACCTTAAGTCTATGTTAAGGTATGGGAGTTACGGTCACCTTAGCGCCAAGATCGCTTTGTACAACGGCAACCAGGTATATAAACACCACCGTATCCCCAGGTTTATATACACCACCGTATCCCCAGGTCTATAAACACCACCGTATCCCCAGGTTTATATACACCACCGTATCCACAGGTGTATAAACACCGCAGTATCCCCAGGTCCATAAATGCCACCGTATCCCCAGGTGTATAAACACCACCGTACTCCGAGGGCTACCAACACCACAGTATCCCCAGCTGTATAAACACCACCGTATCCCCAGCTGTATAAACACCACCGTATCCCCAGCTGTATAAACACCACCGTATCCCCAGGTGTATAAACACCACCGTATCCCCAGGTGTATAAACACCACCGTATCCCCAGGTGTATAAACACCACCGTATCCCCAGCTGTATAAACACCACAGTATCCCTAAGTGTATAAACACCACCGTATCCCCAGGTGTATAAACACCACCGTACCCCGAGATGTATAAACACCACCGTATCCCCAGGTGTATAAACACCACCGTATCCCCAGGTGTATAAACACCAGGTGTGTATAAACACCACCGTATCCCCGAGATGTATAAACACCACTATCCCCAGTGTATAAACACCACCGTATCCCCAGGTGTATAAACACCACTGTATCCCCAGGTGTATAAACGCCACCGTATCCCTAGGTGTATAAACACAACCGTATCCCCAGGTGTATAAACACCACAGTATCCCCAGGTGTATAAACACCGCCGTATCCCTAGGTGTATAAACACCACCGTATCCCTAGGTGTATAAACACAACCGTATCCCCAGGTGTATAAACACCACAGTATCCCAAGGTGTATAAACACCACCGTATCCCCAGGTGTATAAACACCACAGTATCCCCAGGTGTATAAACACCGCCGTATCCCTAGGTGTATAAACACCACCGTATCCCTAGGTGTAAAAACACCACCGTATCCCTAGGTGTATAAACACCACCGTATCCCCAGGTATATAAACACCACAGTATCCCTAGGTGTATAAACACCACCGTATCCCCAGGTGTATAAACACCACAGTACCCCGAGGTCTACAAACACCACCGTATCCCCAGGTGTATAAACACCACCGTATCCCTAGGTGTATTAACACCACCGTATCCCTAGGTGTATAAACACCACCGTATCCCTAGGTGTAAAAACACCACCGTATCCCTAGGTGTATAAACGCCACCGTATCCCTAGGTGTATAAACACAACCGTATCCCCAGGTGTATAAATACCACAGTATCCCAGGTGTATAAACACCGCCGTATCCTTAGGTGTATAAACACCACCGTATCCCTAGGTGTATAAACACAACCGTATCCCCAGGTGTATAAACACCACAGTATCCCTAGGTGTATAAACACCACCGTATCCCCAGGTGTATAAACACCACAGTATCCCCAGGTGTATAAACACCACAGTATCCCTAGGTGTATAAACACCACCGTATCCCTAGGTGTAAAAACACCACCGTATCCCTAGGTGTATAAACACCACCGTATCCCCAGGTATATAAACACCACAGTATCCCTAGGTGTATAAACACCACCGTATCCCTAGGTGTATTAACACCACCGTATCCCTAGGTGTATAAACACCACCGTATCCCTAGGTGTAAAAACACCACCGTATCCCTAGGTGTATAAACACCACAGAATCCCTAGGTGTAAAAACACCACCGTATCCCTAGGTGTATAAACACCACCGTATCCCCAGGTGTATAAACACCACAGTATCCCCTAGGTAGGTGTATAAACACCACTGTATCCCCAGATGTATAAACACCACAGTATCCCCAGGTGTATAAACACCGCCGTATCCCTTGGTGTACAAACACCACCGTATCCCTAGGTGTATAAACACCACCGTATCCCCAGGTGTATAAACACCACAGTATCCCTAGGTGTAAAAACACGACCGTATCCCTAGGTGTATAAACACAACCGTATCCCCAGGTGTATAAACACCACAGTATCCCCAGGTGTATAAACACCGCCGTATCCCTAGGTGTATAAACACAACCGTATCCCCAGGTGTATAAACACCACAGTATCCCTAGGTGTATAAACACCACCGTATCCCCAGGTGTATAAACACCACAGTATCCCCAGGTGTATAAACACCGCCGTATCCCTAGGTGTATAAACACCACAGTATCCCTAGGTGTAAAAACACCACCGTATCCCTAGGTGTATAAACACCACAGTATCCCAAGGTGTATAAACACCACAGTATCCCTAGGTGTATAAACACCACAGTACCCCGAGGTCTACAAACACCACCGTATCCCCAGGTCCATAAACACCACCGTACCTCGAGGTCTACAAACACCACAGTATCCCTAGGTGTATAAACACCACCGTATCCCCAGGTGTATAAACACCACAGTACCCCGAGGTCTACAAACACCACCGTATCCCCAGGTGTATAAACACCACCGTATCCCTAGGTGTATTAACACCACCGTATCCCTAGGTGTATAAACACCACCGTATCCCTAGGTGTATAAACACCACCGTATCCCCAGGTCCATAAACACCACCGTACCTCGAGGTCTACAAACACCACCGTATCGCCAGGTGTATAAACACCACAGTATACCCAGGTGTATAAACACCACCGTATCCCCAGGTGTATAAACACCACCGTACCCCGAGGTCTACAAACACCGCAGTATACCCAGGTGTATAAACACCACCGTATCCCCAGGTTTACAAACCGATATAATACATTTGCGGCTATATAACCACCGGTATA